GAAGATTGTTATCGGTATGAAAGTTGAAGAAAATATGTTAATTAAAATGTCTTATTTTAATGCTTTAAGGGATATGTATATATATATATATATTCCTTAAAGCATGCATACACACACACACACACACACACACACACATATATATATGTCTTCTTAAGTTTTCGCGGGTGTGTATATGCAAAAAATTAAAATCTTGGGTGTTTTCCCGCGTTATGTTAAATAAGTTAGTTAAAATGTTTAAAATTCTGGTTAAAATCTTAGCTTAAAATCTTCCAAAAATCCTTACAGAGCACTCTGCAAGGTCCTTTAAAACCTTAGCTAAGCTAAAATTTATATATATATTCTTACTTTTCGTAGGTAGATTTTTCTGCAGCCCTAGCTCAGTGGAGTCACATCCGCTCAATTCTCACTAGGCAGCATTTCTGCTGGCTGCCAGAAGAAAAAAGCCCAGAATTGAGTGGATGTGACTCCACTGAGCTAGGGCTGCAGAAAAATCTTGGTTACGTAGGAAAAACCTGGCTAAAAGAAAAACACACATAAAACCTATGAAAAGTAAGAAAATAGATATTGTACCTTTACAGGAAGGATACATGAGATGTGGGAGTGGCTTACTGATGATGGCTAACGAGCCAGAAATAGATCTATATAAGCCTCTCACTAGGCAGCATAGGGCCTGCTGGCTGCCAGAAGAAAAAAGCCCAGAATCGAGTGGATGTACATTTTATATTATGTGTATAAAAAAATAAAACTGAAAAAAACTTTTCCCAAAAAAAAAAAAAGATAAGAAATTGTACATTTAAGATATGTGGGGGGGGGGGGGGGGGGAGATGCTACCCTGGCTTCTAACCAGGTAGACAACTTATGACTTCAAACAACACCTGGGCAGCGTTTTGTAGGATGCCGATGAAGGTGCGGTACAGTTGGGATTATTTGTATTTTATTTTTTTTTTAAAAAGGAAGCTGCCCCATCTGGCTGTAAGCACTAGCCCTGCACTAGGCCAGGGGTCTGCCACCTTAAACACTCAAAGAGCCATTTGGACCCGTTTCCCACAGAAAAGAAAACACCGGGAGCCACAAAACCCTTCCTGTGCCTGACTATTTCTTGAGTGGCCACAAAACTAGCATATGTAGTTGAATTAAACCTTCTGTTTTCTTCTGAAACTTTTCTTTTCTTTTTCTTTTCTTGGATTTATCCATGGTTGGACTACCGGAGACCGACGGGTGTTGCCCATTGGGGGGTTGTGACGCCTATTTGAATGACAAGGCGCCGCAGCAGAGGGGCGAAAGAGCCACAGGCGGCTCCAGAGCCGCAGGTTGCCGACTCCTGTGCTAGGCTCTGGATGGCAAGAGACCCCCAAACCCCAGTTAGACACCCCCACCCCACCCCCGAAAGGGAATTTTTGCAGAAGGCAGATCCATTGATCTCTCTCTGTCTCTCTTTTTTTTTTTAAGCCTCAGAGCTGTGAGGAGAAGCAGAAGGGAAAGGGCACCACCAGGTGCTCCCAAGGGAAAGAAAGGCAAAACTTCCCTGATTTGACCCATAGTCAAACTGAAAAAAGGAAGCCCCCCCCACCCCCACCCCAAGGACCTATGCCAATAGGGAGAGAGGGGGACGCCTGGCAATCATAACCCATGGGGCACAGCCACCCCCTTGGCAGGATTTCGATACCCGCGTTGGGCTCCACCCGGAGTCACGCCCAGACAATGGCACCTGTCGTGCCCCTTGGGGCCCCCACTTCCATTAGGCCTTGGGGGGGGGTGTTTCCAGGCTCCTTAACTCGAGCCTAGGTCCGAGCAGCAGAAAGGCCGCGCCCACCTGGGGCGTCGCCTCACCTGCAAGCGCCCCGCTGGCAGGGCTCCAACCCGATCCGGTAGGCCGCCTCGATGTGCTCCTGCGTCACGGCTTCGGGCGGCACCGTCTCCGTCCAGCGCCAGGCCGCTTTCTCCAACTGCAGCCGCGGAGCCATCCCGGGACCGGCCCGAGCGGGGAACAGGGCTTCCGGAGGGCGAGTCCGGAAGCGGAAAGAGAGACCGGGCGACCCCGGAAGCGGAACCGGCCTCAAAAAAAAACAACAACAAGGGGGTCCCTTTTGGCGGCCTCCAGGCCACGCCTCCTGCGGGGGGGGGGGGCGCGCGCGCGCGCGCGCGGGCTGACTCGCTCTACCTGGCGCGCTCGGCTCTGACGTCACGCCAACGGCTGTGGGAGAGAAAGTTTGGAGGGGCGTGGCCCGCCACGTCCAATAGGGCGGCGCTCTCTCGGAAAGGCCCCGCCTCCTCTCCGTGTGTCTTTCTTTCTTCCCTTCACGGCGAAGATAATGAGGGGAGGGAAAGATTTGAGAAAGCCGTTGGACGAGCGGAGCATGCGCACACCAAAGCTCGGCCTTCTGAGGCGAAGTTCCCCACAATCCATTGCGCCTCCCCCTCAGTTTTGTCTCTTTTGAACTAAATAGTTTTTTTTGTATAATCGCCAAGTTTTTTATTTTATTTTTTTTAATAAAAACCCATAACAACCTAAATGGAGGGATTCAGGAGGGAAAATAATGAGGCGCTTTTGACCCTTTTAAAATGGCTGCCCTCTTGCTCTCTGGCGCGGCTGGTGCTGCTTTCAACGTCCCCCCCCCACTCCGTTTCCCCGCGGGCCTTCAATCCACGTGTTTATTTCACATGCTAACGCGCCTCCACGACGCCATTGTGGCAAAGAGCCGCTGACCACGACCTGGGAGGGGGATATACATTAAAGTCTCTCTATACCCGGGAAAGACTACAACTCCCAGTAGCCCCTGGGCTCACACCGGAAGAGACCCCTCCCTCTGGTCCGGAAGCTGGCTGTGCAGGGGCGGGCCAGCTGAGAGCTTGACGCCTCTTGACAGCCTGGCGCGTTCTCGTAGCCGCGGACGAGCAAAACTTGAGAGAAGTGAGAAAGAAAAGGAGAGAGAAAGAAGAGAGAGATGACAGAAGAGACGAAAGAAGAGAGGGAGGGGAGAAGAGAGAGATGAGAAGAAAGAAGAGGAGAGAAAAGAGAGAAAGAAGAGATGACAAGAGAAGAAAGAAGTGAGGGGAGGAGAGGAGAGAGAAGAAAGATGACAGAAGAGACGAAAGGAGAGGGGGAGGGGAGAAGAGAAGAGAGAGAGAAAGAAGGGAGATGACAGAAGAGAAGAAAGGAGAGGAGAGGAGAAGAGAGAAAGGAGAAGAGAGAAGAGAGAAAGAGGAGAGAAGAAAAGAGAAGAGAAAAAGAAGAGGAGAGAGATGACAGAAGAAAAGAGAGGAGCAAAACTTGGCACGGAGAGAAAAGAGAAGAGAAAGAAGAGAGATGACAAGAGATGAAAGAAGTGAGAGGGGAGGAGAAGAAAGGAGAGAGATGACAGAAGAGACGAAAGAAGAGAGGGAGGGGAGAAGAGAAGAGAGATGACGAGAAGAAAGAAGAGAGGAGGGGAGAGAAGAGAAAGAAGAGGAGAAAGAAGAGGAGAGAAATGACAAAGAAGGGATAGGAGAGGAGCAAAACTTGGAGAGAAGAGAAAAAAGAGAGAAGAGAAGAGAGAAGAAAGAAATGATGGAAGAGAAGAAAGAAGGGAGAGGAGAGCCTTGGAGGTCTTCTAGTCCAGCTCCCTGCTCAAGGAGAACCAGACAAGCTGTGTCCTCCTTGCCCGGGAAGAGGGGCTGTAGCAGGGGGCATTCCTGAAGGGACCACATTTGCAATAAAAGCATTTAATGAGCACTTTTCCTTTGAATCTTGAAAGATTAAATCAGGGCAACTGGACCAATGTCTATTAAAACAGATGGTTCGTTACCCATCCAAGTAGCTTCTTTAGTCCAAATGAGAATTTGGTTAATCACGGACTAGAGGACCGTTGGAAAGAACCAAATCTCACCATATAGAGTTGCAGTGGGGTTTCTCACCAAAATGAAAAGCAACTTGAAAGCAAAGATTCCATCCTCCAGGCCAAAAGTCCTCGACTTACAACAGTTCATTTAGTGACCGTTCGAAGTTACATCATCACTGAAAAAAAAATGACTTATGGCTGTTTTTCACACCGTTGCAACATCCCTGGGTAGTCACATGATTAAAATTCAGATAGTTGGCAACTGACTCAGATTTATGACGGTCGCAGTCTCCCGGCGGGGTGGGTGTCACGTGATCCCCTTTTGTGGCTTTTTGAACAAGCAAAATCAATGCCGGAAGCCAAATTCACTTCACAACCTTGATAATCATTTAACAACTGGGGCAAGAAAGGTTGTAAAATGGGGAAAAACTCACTGAACAACTGTCTCGCTTAGCAACCTAAGTTTTGGGCTCAATTGTGTTCGTAAATCGAGGACTACCTGTCTATTAAAAGGTTAAACCATGGCAACTGGACCAAAATTTATTAAAAGGTTTATTAACCTTTTTGAGATACTTTTGGCCTGGATGATTGAATCTTGATTTACATATTTTCGTTTGACTTTCCGAGCTATGGGGGCATCTGCGTGGGCATCCTGCTTGCAGCCCTACCGCTCTCCGCATCCTGAGCCCCTGCACCCGTCGGCCTCCTCCGCAGCCACCCTACTCCCCACTCCTGGGCGAGGGGCTTGATCAGGACAACAGCTCCTGCCCCCTGGCACAAAGCATCTCAGGACCCTGGCAGAGGGCAGAGCCTGCTTCACCTGGAGAATTGGTGCCTGCAGTCACCTGCCTAGCTGCCATCTCCCTCAAGGAGCCTGCTAAGGGGAAGTGGCGAGCTACCACCAGAGTGGGCTGCCCCCCTTTTAGGACGAGGCCCCATTCCTGGCCTTGAGGATGGGACACACGCTCCCCACTCACCCAGTAGCCATGGAACTGGATGCCCCTGGTTGAAACTGGAAGGGCTTGGAGTTTTTTTTTTTAGAGAAGAAACCCAAACGAGATGGCTGGACCTGGGGATTTGTTCCCTGTCTGGTTATGGGACAATTTCCCCATCTATCTCACTGCAATACCACAATCTCACACTCCTCCACAACAAGAAAAAAAAATCCAGTCTCTACAATTGTGGGGTTTCAGCACCATTTATTAAGAAAAAGAAGTACAAGAACAGTCAAGGGAAGGAGGGTGGGAGAAGCAGAGAGGCTGGCTGCTCCGATCCTGGACACGGGGGCTGCCCCAAAATGCCCAGGGCAGCTAGACCACATGAGAACTGTGGGGCGCCCCGGCTGAAAGGCACAAGGCACCCCCAAGGCAAAAAGCTGCCGGTCCCAGTGTATGGGAGACGGCTGGCAGGAGAAGACAAGGATGCCGGCGGACAGCAGTGCCAGCGGTCAGCAATCTCCTGTCCAAGCAATGGAAGTTTCTTTGGACTTGGCTAGTTAGACAAAGCTCCTTTTCTCCTTGGAAAGTGGTAAAAAAAAATCCTTCTGGTTCTGACCCATAACGGGCAGGACTTTCTGGCGAATGGGGCCCCTCTGCTCTCCGCGCCCACCCACCCAAGAAGCAGCCTCATTTCCAGAAGTTTTGCTGTGAGAAATAACACTCAAAGCAGGCAACGGAGAGTGGGTGAGAGGAGATTGGGCTGGGAGATAGCACGTGCATCCGTTAGGAGACAAACCCCCCCCCCCCAATAAGGCACTGAAGCAACCCAAAGGCAATGGGAAAGACACCTCCCAAGGTGCAGCAGGGTTGCCCCTTCCACGGGGCGAGACCCCAGGGCTCCTAGGCACGATCTAGGGGTTAAGGCAGCTGGCGAAATGGGAGGAGGGGGGCACCTCTCAGAAGCACTGCGGCTGTGCAGGGCAACGAGACGGGACTTCAGAAGGATCTGTCTCCTATATGGCATTTGCTGGGCACGGGGGATGTGCCGAGACCACCTTCCTGGGATCCTCTCGCTGCCCCAGGGAGGGCGAAGGCAGGATCTTTGGTCAGTCACAGCCAGCCGGCTCAGCAGAACAGCCGTCTGGGCGCCCGGCTTGCTTGCCGAATTCTGGGAAGCCGACCTGTTTCTGGCCTCCTTTCTGCAGCTTCTGGCGGCAACGTAGCATGGCTCCCTGGTCCTTCGAGAAGGCCCGCGCGGGGCTCCTTTCCTGCCGGCACAGGCCGAAGACGCCGTGAGCCAACTCCCTCCGCCCTTTCCCCTTTTTGGCAGCAGCAAAAAGCACCGTTTGTGTGTTTCTTCCTTTTAAAAAATTTGTAATAATAATAATAATAATAAAATAATGATAATCAGCGTAGATGTCTCTCCTTTGGCCCAGCGATGGCAACGAAGAGCAGGAGGGTGGAAGGTGGTGGTGGGGCCCTCCTCCCCTATGAGGGGCACTCCTGAATGTTCAGGGACATTTCCGCTTGATGGTGCAGGTCTACGGGCTGTCGGGGTTCTTGGCCTGGCCGGGCGTTGACCAGAACTACGTTTTTGAGGCAGCCTGTGATCCCCGAGGTGTATTTCCCAGCCGTGAGCGTCTGGATGTCGGGGGCGCCTCCTGAGCAGAAAAAGGCAAAGCTCTCAGCAGAGGAAGTGATCGTCCAGTCTCAAAGAAGTCGGGAGGGAGAGAAGTGGGGGGGGGGCAACCCAGAAGACCCACGCTTTCGCTCAATCCTATTTGCCTGGGATATTGAACCCCTTGGCAGTTATCTCTGGACAGCAAGCGAGGAGGTTGGTGCCACTTTCAGGTGGGTCCCCTGAGACAACCCCTGAAGCGGCTTCGTAGAAAAAGATCTCCAAATGACCCTCCTGCGACTACAAAGCAGTGGACATAAGAAGCTGTAAAGGTAAAGGTTTCCCTCGCACATATGTGCTAGTCGTTCCCGATTCTAGGGGGCGGGGCTCATCTCTGTTTCAAAGCCGAGGAGCCAGCGCTGTCCGAAGACATCTCCGTGGTCATGTGGCCAGCATGACTAAATGCCAAAGGCGCACAGAACGCTGTTACCTTCCTGCCAAAGGTGGTTCCCATTTTTTCTACTTGCATTTTTTACATGCTTTTGAACTGCTAGGTTGGCAGAAGCTGGGACAAGTCACGGGAGCTCACCCCGTTACGCGGCACTAGAGATTTGAACTGCTGAACTGCCAACCTTTCGATCAACAAGGTCAGCATCTTAGCCACTGAGCCTCTTTCTCCAATCAGAGGCTGACGGACACAAGAGCAACCACTGGGGCAGAAAAAGGCACCAGCAGGTAGAAAAGGGCAGCTCTTTTGGAACTGCGCAATCCAGAAGACTGCACAATCCACTTTGGCTGCTTTCCAGGGCCCCAACCGCTCACCTATATAGATCCGGCCTTTGGTGTTGACCATGACATTCCTGCCGGAAGATTCTCCGGTCGTTGCCTCCTCTCCATCCACCTGAAGGGAGCCTCTTTTCCCTTCCCTACAGAAAAGGGTTTTGCATCAGAAGGGCGGGGGGGGGGGGTTGTCCGTGCTGACCGAAACCCGCTCGGCCAAACCCCAGCCATCTCCTCTTACCGGACAGCGGTCACTCGATGCCACTCTCCATCATCCACGGGGTCTTCAGAACGGATGTTGGCCTCTCCGCTTCCCAGTTGGTAACTGCGGAAGACATGCTGGGTCAGTCTGGCCCCGCCAGCCAGATTGCCCTAGCAGGGGGAAAGCCCAGCTGGCAGCAGATTCGGACAGTGAGGAGGTTGGGGAGGAACATGGGCCAGTCCTGGAGTCTGGGGAAGGCTCTGATGAGGGCTCTGCGTCGGAGGCAGAGAGGGGGCCAGGGCCGTATGCCAGTTATCAGCTGCCTTCGGAGTTGGACATTAGTGGGGCAGAAGAACAGCTGGAGCCTGTTCCCAGTGTGCGCCTGCACAGAGTTGCCAGACGAAGGGAACAGCTAAAGAACAAGGGTCGACTCAGGAGTAAAGCCACAGCTGGACAATGAATGGCCTCTCCCACAGGGAATAAAAATGAGTGAAAGGGGAGGGGAGTTTGCAGGAGACAATTAGTTTGCTTAATTGGTTCGTGACTCCTTGCCAAGTTTTGAAGATATCGGCCTGGCAGCTCTCCAAGCCAGATAAGGTCTGTGACTGTAAATTCTCCCTTGAAAGACTTTTCAGGATGTGAAGGAGAAGAATTCACAGTAACTTAATAAAAAGGGGTTTTTGTTCGGGACAAGGAGTCTGCTTCATGCTCTTGGGCAGCCTAGATCAGAACAGGCAGCCCGACTCACCTGAACAGCAGGTGCCCGTCCTTCAGCCCGAGGCTAATGAAGTCCTTCCCTTTGCTTGGTTCCCCTTCCTCCTGTGTGTGTGTGTGAGAGAGAAAGAGAGCAGTGTGATGCCACCATCTCAGCCTTCTCCTTTGGTAGGGTTGGGGGTGGGGCAACCCTACGACCGCCTCCTGGCCACATTGGGGAGCCACTCCCATGCACTGCTCCCCTCGCATGCTTTGAGCACCTGTTCAGAACTCCACAAGCCCAACCATCCAAGCGGTTGAATACCTGGATAGCAACATGCTGCGGGGGACCCGGCTCGCCCGTGGCCTGGAAAGACAAAAAGACATGCAGAAGCCACGCACGTTTCAGCAAGACCCTGCTGGCCATGCAACGGGTGCAGCATCTGCAGCCACCGCCATGCAACGCATGCGAGAGACTATCAAGCGCCCAGTTGCGGTTTCTCAGCTCAGCAGGTGAAGGCAGAGGCCCTTCCCTTGCACTAAACCCCTTCTTTTGGGGTGGCTCTCCACGGTCCAGATGTTCTGGGCAGCACCGAGTGGGTCGAGACCTTGCCGATTGTCCAGGGGACGGCTGTCGCCACTGAGGATGTTTTTAAGCAAGCTCACACCAATCCACCTAGCGTCACTCGAACGATCTTCCCAAGGCCACTCCCCATGGGGCTGCCGGATTGCCCTCTGCCCCCAGTCCCTCCCATACCCGCCATTTCTTGGCCACTCACCACCCCCTGCCAGAAGAGTAGCCCGTTTGCAGAGGTAGTTCGCACTTCCAACTCAATGGTCTCCGGCGACTCGGGAAGACTGTGAGAAAGGCGACCCCCAATTAGAAAAACCAATTCCCCCTTTCCCCGCTATAAGCGGAAATGCCCCATTTTGCTTCCCTGCCGTTCCCCTGTTTTCCCGAAATTGCCCGGCAAACCATCCAAATACATTGGCTGATTTTCTGCAATAGCTTCACCTCCCCACCCCACTGAAATCTGCTCCCCCTTTGGAATCCTCCCTTTCTCTACCATGGGCTTCTCCCATTGTCCTTCCCCCAATCATCTGTGGGCCTCTGTAGAAGAAGGGCCCAGCCCTCAGAGGGGTCTTTTCCCAGCACCAACCGCAGTGCCCCTCAACACGGAGGGCGTGGGCAGCACCCTAACACACACCGCGTTCAGCCGCCACCAACCCCTCACCTCCTGGGAAAAGTGTGTCTCGGCAGTGCCACGTAGCCCCCGTTGCAGAAATAGGCTCCGTACTGTCCAGGAGCGTCTGTCAGAGGGAAAAAGCATCCGAGTCAGCTGGACCAGCAACAGATAAGAAAACCAGGGAGGGGAGGGGTCCAAAGAGGGCCAAGCTTACCGTTTCCTCCGCTGCCTTCCGGCCATTCGGCTTTCAGCTGGTGCTGCAGTTCGTCTAGAGGGCGAAGGGAGAGGCTCACGTCAAGCAGGGTCCTACAAAAGCTCCTCTCCCACCCGAAGCAAAGCCGAGTCAGCAGAGACCCTCAGAGCTGGTTAAAGTGGCCGCTTCACATTTGGGATCTCCCTGCCCCAATGCTCACCGTGTTCACAGTACACCCCTGAGAAGCCCTGGCGGCAGAGACAGGCGGTGCCCCTGCAGATGCCCCCATTCAGGCAGGGATGATGGAGCTGGCAGTGGACCTCGGGCACCTCGCAGCGTTCCCCTGCGGGTAGAGAGGCGCTCCTGTGAGTACCAGGTGGAGCAGGGGCAGGCAGGGGGATACCCAGAGATGGGATTCATTTACCTTCCCTACCGGTTGGCATATGTGAGCGCATGCGCCACCTTTCCGCATGTGCACGGCCTTCCGTGCATGCACAGTGCTCGCGCATGACATCCGGGCAGGTGGGCGGAGCCTCCCACAGTCACCACTACCAATTCACCCGAACCGGACAGAACCAGCTGAATCCCACCTCTGGGGATACCTCACCAAGAGCTTCCGCTAGCCTTTCCGCCTCACCTGTGAAGCCATCCGGACATAGGCACTGGAATTCGTACTCCCCCGTGAGCAAGCACTGGCCGCCATGCTGGCAAGGCCTGCGGTCGCAAGGGGAGCTGTCAGCGCACTGCGAGATGCCGCGACTCTCCAGGAAGCTGTAGGAAATGTCCACCTTCTTCCCGTTGACTGAAACCTGGAAGGAGAGAACCAGAATTGGCACCCTAGGCTCCTCATAAGAGGAGGAGGCCGGGCAGGTGCAAACTTTCGCTTGCGAGGGACACCCTCCCTGTTTCTGGATTTCCCAGGAAGGAGGGGAAGGGATGGATGCTGCCGCCTTGACTGGCTGAACAGAGGAGGCAGGCACTTCCCTCCCCGCTAACAGCCCACCTCTCCGATGCACCCGTGGAAGTGGCTAGAGATGTTGGTGGCTGCCGGGAGCTTGATTGTGTTGTCCACCCCTCCAAGGTAGAGAGAAGTGCGCAGGTTGAGGCCCTGGCTCTTCCCGGGGGACGACCTCTTGACGGGCCGCTCCTCGTCCACCTGCAGGGTGCCGTCTTTGTTCAGGCGCTCGGCCGCCACCTTGTGCCACTGCCCCAGGGCCAGGGGCTTGTGGCTCCGAAGCACAGCGGTACCTGCGAAGAAAGACCAGCTTGGAGAGTCCGGAGTGGCCGAAGGCATCCAAAGAGGGAAGGGATAGGTGGCACCAGGGATCCTACCTGAGCCTAACTCGTAGCGGAACTCCAAGTGCCCGTTGACCATGTTGAGCGAGACGAAGTCAGCCACGGGGGTCCCGTCACCCCCGTTGAACAGAACGAGGCCATTGGGGGAGAGCGGCTTGACCTCAATCTCTAGCCGCAGCTCGTATGGGTTTCTGGTGAGGGTCTGGTAGGAGATGAAAGCGTTCCCACCCGGAAAGAGGGGGGTGGTCACTGTGAGGCCTGTGAAAGGGGAAAAAACAGGGGGTTACCCAGGCCTCTGCCGGCTTCCTCATGAGCAGGGCTGAGCCTGTGCCTCACTCACCCGCCATGCACTTCTTCCCGTGTCGGCCCAAGAGGCAACGGCAGGTGTAGCCCTCCCCGGAGGCTTGGTTCACGCAGGTGGCGTCGGGCCCACAGGCCTCTGTGGGGAGAAAAGCAGGCAGAAGGTCCTGGGCTCAAGCGCTTTCAGGCTTGGCAAAGTCCCACCTCTGCTCCGGGCATATTGCCCCCAGTTCCTGGCACATGAGGTGAGATAGAGGTGTTGAGCTCCGCCAGCAGCCTGCGGAGCTGGCAGCGGAGTCGGACAGTGAGGAGGTTGGGGAGGAGAATGGGCCAGTCCTGGAGTCAGGGCAAGGCCCAAACGAGGGCTCTGCGTCGGAGGCAGGGATGTGGCCAGGGCCATCTGGGAGTGATGAGCAGACTCCGGAGCCTCCAGAGGCGGATAGCAGAGAGGCAGAGGAACAGGAGGACCCTGTTCCTAGTGCACGCATGTGAAGAGCTGCCAGAAGGCAAGAGCAGCTAAAGCAAAAAGGACGACTTGGGAGTAAGGCCAGGAGATGATTGGCCCCTCCCAGAAGGCTTAAAAGAGCAGCAACAACTCTTGGGATCTTTGTAGAAAAGCAACGTTGCTACATTTTGTTTCTTGTCAGCATCTCTTGCTTCTGAACTTTTGCCAAGAAAAGCCTTTGGCACAGTGCCAAAGAAGACAAAGGTTGGTGATAAGGCCGAAGGACTGTTTATGAAGAATTTGTTTTGAAACTAAGCTGAGAATGAAGTAGTTCTCCGCTGTTTTTAATAAAATATGTTTGTTTAGGACTGATTGTGTCTAGTAATAACTACTTGGGTCACAATGGGAGGGGAGAACTGAGGGGGGGGGTGGTCTTACCTGGATGACAGCGCAGGGCCTGAGGATGCTCGCAGTTGCTCCCAGCGAACCCCTGGGGACACTCACATACGTAGCTACTGCTCTCCGAGTCTCTGCAGACCCCTCCGTTCTGGCCAGAGAAGAGGGAGGGAGGGAAGGCAGTAGTGCTGTTAAGGTCCCTGGCTCGCAACTGCTCTGGGCACCCTGTGGGCACCCTCTTTGAGGTCATGATTATCTGCTCCCTTCCCCAAAATTATGAGCAGAGGGCTACCTGACATGGTTGGTCTTGGCAGGTGGGGCAGTTGGAGACTCCGTGAGCTTGCAGGTCAAAATCCTTGAAGATCACCTCCTTGCCTTGAATGATCAGCTGGCGCACGCATCCTGCAGGGGGGTGGCAGGGGAGGGGGCACGCTTAGAAGGCCTCGGTGCTTGGCACGACCAGACCCACAAACCTGCTCAACATGTGAGCCAGCACCAGGCGAGGGAGAGAGAGAGCACAGTCTCATATCCTTGGGCCAACCAAGCACACTTCTTCCCTTACTAGACTAAGATCCGTGGTGGTGCAGTGGTTAGAATGCAGTATTGCAGGCTAATTCTGCCGACGGACAGAAGTTCGATCCTGACCTGCTTAAGGTTGACTCAGCCTTCCATCCTTCTGAGGTCGGTAAAATGAGGGCCCAGATGGTTGGGGGCAAGAGGCTGACTCTGTAAACCGCTTAGAGAGGGCTGTAAAAGCACTGTGAAGCGGTATATAAGTCTAAGTGCTATTCCTTCCTTCCTTCCTTCCTTCCTTCCTTCCTTCCTCCCTCCCTCCCTCCCTCCCTCCCTCCCTCCCTCCCTCCCAGTGGTTAGAATGCAGTATTGCAGGCTAACTCTGCCCACTGCCAACAGTTCGATCCTGACCGGCTCAAGGTTGACTCAGCCTTCCATCCTTCCGAGGTGGGTAAAATGAAGACCCAGATTGTTGAGGGCAACAGGCTAACTCTGTAAACCGCTTAGAGAGGACTGTAAAGCAGTATATAAATGCTACTGCTATTGCTACACTGTCATTAGGGATAAGAGGTAAATAAAGAACCCAGAAAAAAACACCTGGCAGGAGAGGCTGAGTAAACCTTCTCCAGATTAGCAAATCTGGGTTAAACTCCACCATTCTGACCCATTCCCCGTCTACTCCATCCATCCATCCCTGGACAGACCCATCCCCCGCCCTCATCTCACCTACAAATCCACTGCTGAGGCCGGTTTTTGCGATGGCTGCATAATTGGGGTACCCGCCCAGGTAGAGCTCCTCGTTGAGATCCAGGCCTTGAAACCTGCCCTGGAATGACACACAAGCAGAAAACCTTTGGTCTGAAAGGGGCTGGAAGACAGGCCCACAAGTGACCTCCCCTCCCTCCCTGTGGAGTTTTCTGGGTGGGGGAGGGCCTTTCTCCATCAGGCCCGCTAACCGAAGGCACAAAGCTCGGTCCACGTAAACAGCTTAGCTGGCATTAACGAATCCAGCTCCTGCCTGCCTCAGTTTCCCAGAGAGAGGGGAGACGGAGGCCTCCTGCTCTTCTGGGGAAACGGAACCTCCAGGGGGGAGGGGCAGGGGTGGGCTGTTGGGGGTTCGCAAGGGTTCGGGAGAACCTCTAGCTAAGATTCTGTGCTGTTCGGAGAGCCCCCAAATCCCACTCCTGGCTGGACCCACCCACCCTGCCCCTCCCCTCCCAGGAGTCCCCACGCGGCCCATTTTGGTTGCAGGTAAGCGCAGGGCGCACGGGGAGGGTGAAAAACGGGCCTACGTTTCTGGCCTCCAGAGGGCCTCTGGAGCCTGGGGAGGCCGTTTTTATTTATTATTTATTTATTTATTATATTTCTATACCGCGTTTCTCCCGTAGGACTCAAGGCGGTGTACTGTCAAGAAAAATATAGACACACAAACATCATAAAATTGCTAATTAAAATTGTTAATTGTTAATTGTTAATTAATTGTTAATTGTCAAAAAAAGCCTCCAGAGCTCGAGGAGGGCAAAAACGCCCCCTACCCCGCCGTGGTGCAGGAGGCCAACTAGGAAATACCCAGCATGGCCACGCCCACCCAGCAACCGGGCAGAGAACCCCTTGCTAAAATTTTTGAAGCCCAGCCCTGGGGAGGGGGTAACCCTAACCGTAACCCACGGCCCCCTCTCCATCCCCGCCCAGGTCTCAAGAGAAAGACATGCCCCCCCCCACTTCCTTCCACCAGGGCTCACCTGGGAGCTGCCGTTCACAGGGGGGTAGCCGTCCACCACCAGAGATCCCTGAGTCAGGTTACGATAGAGACGGATGGTGTGGAACTCGCCCAGGTTGAGGATTGAAGGGTGCCGGATGGTGGCCATGCCGGAACCAGCATCGAACCTGCCATTACGAGACGGGGGGGGGGGGCAGCTTCAGTCGCCCATCATGGCTGGCTGGTCCTCAATTCCTGATGGGCAGCACTCTCCCCTCCCCTCCATCCCCCAGAAATCATTACCCAGCTCCAGAAATCTTTGGCAAAAGGCTACCAAAGGGAAGCTATGGGAAAGAGGCGAGCTGGCAGACTCTGAGCCAGGGGGCACAACTGGTCAGCTCGATCACCCCCGCAGGGACCCCGGCCTCACCTGAGTTCCGGGCGGCCCCCCACCAGCCCAAAGGAGACGAAATCGCTGCCTGTGTTCTTCTTCTGGCCGTTGTAAACCAACATCCCTGTGGAGAGCAGAGGGGTAAACTCACGGGAGCTAGGGGCGAGAGACACCCCCCACAACGCGTCCCCCAGGTCCCTTGGCAGCATCATGCAGGGTGCTGAGCTCAGATCCGCCATGCTCTGCCTCTTGTCTTTCCCCAGGCCCGGGGAGCCTGGGGGGGGGGGGGGAACAGGAGTCTTTGAACCCAAGGCTGAGCGGCCCTCCCAGCCCCACAGCCAGGCAGAGGGGCAGCGTGGGACCTGCCTGCACACGCATACACACATACTGTGTTTCCCCGAAAATAAGACCCTGTCTTATATTTTTTTGAACACCGAAATAAGCACTTGGCCTTATTTTTGTGGAGGCTTTATTATTTTGCAGCATGTGGACAGCTCCTCTTGCCGTCTTACCTGATTTTCCGCTCTGTCTCCTTAACCCTAACCAGAAGAAATGGCGGGGACCGGCTGTGCATGCATTTAAATAGTTTCGAGGAGGGCTTATTTTCAGGGAGGGCTTATTTTAGCCTGAATCGGCATTTTATCAGGGGATGTCTTATTTTCGGGGAAACAGGGTATACCCTTGCTTCCTGGGAAGCAGCAGCTTCCCTTTGCAGGAGTTAGCAAAGGAAGATTAGGTCCAAACAGTGCAACCTAGCTAATAGGAATAAGGTAGACTGCAGCTGGATGAGGAGGCTCGGGAGCTCCTGGTATATTAGTCAGTTAGCCAGTAGCTCATTTGGCTAAGGAGGCACACTCCTCCCCACCCCACCCCACCCATCCACCCACCCCCACACACACACACTCCAGAGGCAGAAAGGGTTAGAAAGGTGCTGGGTGCTGGGCAGGAAGCCCTCAGTGCCCAGCAGGGGCACAACTCACCTGAGTAAAGCATGAGAGCTGGAAGGGCAGAGGGAGGAAAGAGGGGAAGAGGTGAGAGGAGGAGGAGGAGGAGGAGGAGGGGCAGATGAAGGGAAGAGAGGTTGAGTGAGAGATGCTCAGAAGAGAGAGCGATCAGGATTCGCATCCATATCAAGAAGAAGAGTGGCTATACCCTCGCCCGCCCACCCCGCAGCCTCTCTTACCATCTGGAGTGTCAGGACGGAAGGTGATTTCGAGGGCAAACACCCGGTAGGCATCTTTCATGGTTGGCAGGACCAGGTAGGACTGAGGATTCTGGGTAAAATAGGGCACCACTCGCTCTGCGAGGGGAGGGGGAAAAGGGTGTGAGGACAGTTGAGTCCTCCGCCTCTTCTGCAGATGGGCAAGACCCAGGCAGGGGTGGGTGGGAAGCATTTGGCGTAGGCCTGGGCAAAGCTGGTAGAGGCTACAACGGGCACGTCATGAGTCTCTGCCCAGGTCCTCCTCCCTGACTCCTCTCGTGCCCACAAAGGAAAGGGCCGGGCAGGAGGAGGAAGACAGTGGGAGAAAGCAAAGCTGGCTGAGGAACTCTGGGAGTTGAAGTCCACAAGTCTTAAAGTTGCCAAGGTTGGACATTCCTGTTCTAGAGGACTACTACCGCCCATGGGGGAAGGATTAGGGCCCGCTCTTTGCCCCCCCTCCTCCGTCTCCTGTGGGCCAGAGTGGGAGAGAGAGGCGCATGCCACACTGACCTCGGACTTTGAGCATGGAGAAGGCCGTCCCCTTCCCCTGCCGGTTGGACGCCGTGCACACATAGACGCCCGTGTCTTCCGGGCGAGCCGAGGGGATGGTCAGGCTGTGGCCCTCCAGCTGGGCATGCCGGGGCAGCTCCCCCTCCAGCTGCAAGACAGTGAGCCACAGAACCCGCTAGCAGGCCTGCCACCACCACCCCCAAAACAGGTCCCCCCCGTCCAGTGGTGAAATTCAGCTATCCGGATCTCGCGATCCGGTAGCACCGGCGGTGGGAGGCTCCGCCCACCTGCCGGGATGTCATCGTCCCATTTTTGACCCTCTGCATATGCGCAGAGGACTCTGCGCATGAATGGAGATGTGCAAGCTCACATTTGCGAACTGGTAGCGAAGGTAAGTGAATTTCACTCCTGCCCCTGTCCCAGAACCAAAGGGGCAGCTCTGCAGCACATCCCCCAACACTTCCGCAGCAGCACCTCCCTCTCCATGCATCCCGCCTGGAGAGAGAGAGGAGGGGAGGTCACTCCTGTCCGAGACTTACCTTGGTCCACTTGATTTCCGGGACGGGGAACCCAGAGACTGAGCAAGGGAAAACCACGGTGGAACCGGCGGAAACCTCCTTCACTTCTGGCTGGGTGGCCACTTGCGGGACAGCTGTGGGGAGAAAAGAGGAGGGCCCACCCAGTCAGCCACGGAGAGCAAAGCCATGGAGGATGCCCCTCTGGGAGAAGACCAGGCTTACACTGGACGTGCAGGATGACGTGGGACTGGACGGTGCCGATGTTGTTGGTGGCTGTGCAGCGGTACTTTCCCGCGTCGGCCTGCTCCACCCGCTCGATCTTCACCAGGCCTTCGCTGACCAGCACTCCTGGGCGCAGCTGCCCGCCCACCTTGCTCCAGGTGAGGTCCGGCTTGGGGTCCCCAAAGGCCAGGCACTCAAACTCCACAGCGTTGCCTGCCAGGACGGTCTGCACCGATGTCCGGATGTTGATCATCACTTTGGGGAGGGCTGAGAAGAGAAACGGGGGGGTTTCCAGAGAGGGAAGAGGAGGCTTCCTGTCTCCTACAGGTAGGACACCTGGTCCACCAGCTGGCATGACGCTTACTTACCCCGGACAGTCAGGCTGACCCTCTCCTGGGCTTGGCCGGAGGGACTCCTGGCCCGACACACATATACCCCCTGGCACTCCAGGTCCAGCTTCTCAATCCTGAAGGGAAGCAACCACTTTGTGAATCCCTGAGCTCTTTGCCCCAGACTGCAGGTGCCCAGTGCCACCTCCTCCTCCTCCTCCCCAACATGCCACGCCACCTCGTGGCCCTCATCTGCCCCACTCACCGCAGCACTCCATTGCGGATGGTATGAGTGGGAGGCAGCTCTCCACCCTCTTTGAGCCACTCGATCTGTGCCCTGGGATCCCCGGAAATGGAGCACACAAACTCTGCTGTGGCACCCACGGCTTTGGTGTCACTCTGCGGGGTGACCTGAACGGAGAGGGGTCCTCCAGCATGGCCTGAATTGGAGACAATGAGGAGGACACAACACAAGTCAGCGCAAATACGACAAGAAACATAGACCCAGACGTACAATAATACATAAATATATTAGGTCCAAGGCTGGGATCAAAGCCAGTTTTTCAAAGCGCTCAGGAATCCTAGGATTGACCCACAAGTCCTTGGGGGCTCCTTTTATACCAGCAGCCTATTTTTTAATCTCCCAAATTTGAGAGGCTTAAAGGTTATGAGCAGGGGTGAAATGCTACCGGTTTGGACCGGTTCGCCCAACCGGTAATAAAAAATGCTACCAGTTCGGGTGAACCAGTATTTCCGACAATCAGCTGTGTCGTGTGATTTATATTCGCTAGAATATCCTGCTTTCTAGCGAATCTAAATTACACGGCACAGCTGTCCCCCCCTCCGTTCTACTTACTTTTGAAGACTCAGAAATGTCTTCTTAATCCTTCTTTTTCAACATTGCGCGGTAGCGCCTGCGGTGCGTATGAGTTTGGCGCAAGCTGCACATGCGCACACAAAGCGAACCAGTAGGAAAGCAAACCGGTAGCAGACTTCCCAGCATTTCACCTCTGGTTATGAGGCAGGATCGAGCCCCGCACCCCTTGTCACCCCCTTGGCTGAACTTCCCATCTGGATGCCCACTCACCTTGCACATAGACCTGGGCTAAAGCCTCAGCGGAGCCCACCCGGTTGCTGACGTGACAACGGTAGGTGCCTGAATCCCGGTGCCCGGCCGGGCTGAACTGCAAGACACCATCTCGCACCGTGGCCCGTCCGGGGAGACTGCCGTTCACCTTGGTCCACTGGTAACGCAGGGGGGGCGTGCCGTGGGCCAGGCACTGCAGCTGCACCGCGTCACCCTCGTGCACCACTGCTCGGTTGGGAAGACTGGTGGCGTAGGGTGGTACTGGGCAGAGAGAGAGGGGGGAGAAAGAGTTTGGCACAGGCACCAGCCTTCCCAAGGAAGGCACTGAATTCCGTTTCATGGCGTTGGCTAGTCCATGAGTGCCAAGGGTCCATGGGTGTGTGTGTGCTAGGCATTTTCCCCCTCTTTTGCTATCTCCCTCTCAACCCAAGGCCGCCCAGGGACCACCGCAGCACCTCTGTTTGAGTCCCATCCATCCTCCTCCTGGCACACTCACTTTCCACATCCAGCACCACGAAGGCTTCGGTGAACCCCGCAGAGTTGCTGGCGTTGCAGATGTACTGGCCCGAGTCCTGCTGAGCCGCCCGGGGGATGATGAGAGTGTCATTCACCACCTGATGCTGCCATGGCAAGGGAGCCCGCAGCTTGGACCAGTGGATGGTGGGAGTTGGGTCACCTGTCGATCCCAGAAAAAGGAAGCAGCGGTGAGCCCGGCCGACCAGCAGCCCAGGTAGCCTTGGCACAGGGGACCCCAAGACAGGCTTGTCATCTTGGTGGGTGGGTGGGGACCAGTCAGGGCCAAATAACGCCCCTTATACAAACACACACCTGTAGCAGAGCAATGGAGTCGAGCCGTCTGTCCCGCCTTCACTGTCTGGGTCGGAGTCACGTGGATTTCGGGGACTCCTCTGTTGCCGTGCACCGCCTCCACGCTTATGTCCACCTGCGCCTCTGTGGTGCCCACGGAGTTCTGGGCCACGCACACATAGGTGCCGGCATCTCCCAGCTTTGCAGAGGAGATCTGGGAAGGGAGAGGAGCCCACACAACACCTTCAGCCTGATTCCCACTCAAACGGAGGAATCAAGGTATCCTTTAGGATGTGGCCACTGGCCGCCGTTTTCTCTCTTTGAGCATGGAATAAGGACCAGCACTGGAGGCTCCCTGGAGAGATCGCGGCCGAAAAAATGAGAACTTGCCAGGACAGGTGAGTTAACTGTGGCTGCACCAGCCCTCCATTCCTTCCCTTTCCTTCCCAGCAACTGTTACTCTAAGATACACTGCTCCTGATGCTGGAAGCTTTATATGGGTAAGTCCTCAATTTACGGCTACAATTGAGCCGCAAACTTCTCTTGCTAAGCGAAGCCTCTGTTAAGTGAGTTTTGCCCCATTTTACGACCTTCCTTGCCACTGCTGTTAAGTGAACCACAGCAGTTGATGTTAGTAACCCGGCTGTTAAGAGAACCTAGCTTCCCCCCAGGAGGTCGCAAAAAGGGATCACGTGACACCAAGACATTACAACGGTCATAAATATGAGTCATGGCCAAGCGTTCGAATTTTGATCACATAATCATGGGGATGCGGAGGGGTGCGGTGGCCTAGAGGTGGAGCTCTTGCCTCACAATCAGGAGGCTGTGAGTTCAATCCTAGGTAGAGGCAGATATTTCTCTCTCCGGGCACAATGAGAATATATCTCCGTGATGGTGAACCTATGGCACGTGTAGGTCAGGCATGTGAGCTGTCGCCTGTTGCTTTTCTGGGTTCCGGCAAACCAGTCGGCTGATCTTCACATGCATGGGAGTGCCGGAAACCAGCAGAGCAGCCACCCGGTGCGCACATGTGCACCGGGTGGGTGTTCTTCTGGTTTCTAGCGAACGCTCCCGTTTCGGCAGTGCTGAAAAGGTTCGCCAACACTGATATATCTGTTGAACAAAACTCCGCATTGGTGATAGGAATGGCATCCGGCCATTAAACACTCTGCTAGCTCCATTCAATTGCCCAGACTCCACCCCGCAAGGGATTATGGGGCTGTTAAAAGATGATGATGAAATCATGGGGATGCTGCAAAGGCTGTTAACTGTGAAAACAGGGTCCTAAAGTCACTTTTTCCAGTGTCGTCCTAACTTTGAACGGTCGCTAAATGAACTGCTGTAAGTCGAGGACTATCTATACCCACCAGGCAGCCGGAAGTTATGTCTAGTTCCGGTGTCCCGGGCAATACCCGGAAGAGCCTGTAGTACAGTGGACTAAAGCACTGTTATTAACATCTGCTGCTTGCAATTACTGCAAGTTCAAATCTCACCAGGCTCAAGGTTGACTCAGCCTTCCATCCTTTCTAAGGTAGGTAAATTGAGGACCCAGATTGTGGGGGCAATAAACTGACTTTGTATAAATATACAAAAGTATGAAGGCTATTGCTTAACGCACTGTAAGCCGCCGTGAGTCTCCGGAGAAGGGCGGCATATAAATCTAATAAAAAAAAAAAAAATACCCACCGACTCCAACCAGCCCTAGCCAGCAAAGGAAGTTTCGGCCACTGGAAGGCCTCAGATCCCTGCCCTTAGAAGCATCCTCCACCCACCTGCAGCACCGCTCTGCTTTCCAAGGGCAGCATCCTCTGGTTCTCCAGCTTCTTCCAGGCTCCCAGCTTGGTCCAGCGCACCACAGCCCGGGGTTCCCCGTCTGCCAGGCAGTCCACGCTGATGGATTTGCCCACTTTGAGCTGCAGGGGTCCCTTCGGCACCACTGAGACGGTAGGCAGTCCTAGGAGCAGAGAACGGCACCGGAGTTCACCCAGGGCCTTTGGAAGACCCTCCGCCCCGGCGTTCCTTCAGAGTCCAACTTTAGCCTCGGCTGGACGAGAACGAAAGGGGTCCTCATCCTTGCTGTCCTGGAGAGACCCTCAGTGTTGTCCCTCACCTTGGACCAGGACGTTGACTAGGCTGTTGGCAATCCCAAACTGGTTGGAGACCACACACCGGTAGGCACCGTGGTTTTCCGGACGGGCATTGGAGATGGTGATCGCAGAGCCGTTAGGGCTGATCCTCACATTATCTGCAGAGAAGATGGAAGGAATTACCGGGGGGGAGGGCGTGTTAGGAAATGGCTATTTGTCTAACTAGTTGGTCAGGCAATATATAAATTAACAATGTATGTTTGCAGTCAAAAGGCATTATATTCATTTGAGACTGTATTGCATCATCCTGTATCCTGATTGGCTAAGCTCTGTAGCCAATGTACTTAAGGGAAGCCTGAATCATGGCTTGTGTGGTCACTACACCATTTAACCTGCTTATTTGCTGTAACTCTCTACCTGATCTCTCTGCATGATCACTGTTTGATCATAGCTACATGTTGCTTTCTATTATTTATTGAATGGTTTTAGATTGAACTTGTTCCTGTTTTGAAACTCAAGAAGAACTGTTTTATTGTGTATGACTACAACTGGTAAGAAGACTTTGTACTTGAAATATCCCTGGATTGATCTTTTAACTCTTGCCTTATCTGTGTATGATTTGGATTGTTTTTGGACTTTGCTTTATTTTTTCCTAAAAGTATAAGACTACCCACAACTCAGTGTGTTTGTATGTTAACTGTGATTGTTCACAACCACTCCCAGTCGCTTTCATGCGTATACTCGGGGTACTCTGCTCAATAATCTACAACGTCAGTTATGAGCCAAGAATATCCTTAATAGGGCACTCCCCAGAATCAGCACCCACCCCCCCAAACCACCTGGCCTAGCTGTTCACCTGGCGCCCCGAAACCTCACCTAGCAGTTGATTGTTGGGAAGCTTCCAGGTGATCTCGAGAGGCGGGGTGCCTTTGTGGACGTGGCACCTGAAGGAGACCTCTTCCCCTCCGCGCACAACCACACTGTGGGGCTCTATGGAGATGATGGGGCTCTGCAGACCTGCTGGGAGAGAGTGACAGTGAGCCTGGAGTCTGAACACCCTCCACCCGCCCACTCTCACCCCCACTGGAATGCCAGACGTACGGGAAGCGGGACTGGTGTTGGCCACGACAGAGACCACGAAGGACGCCTCTTGCAGGATGCTGCCTCCACTAACACGACAGACGTATTCGCCAGAATCGGCAGGGGCGAGTTGAACCAGTCGCAGGCGGGCGTTGGAGACCTGTGGGGGCCAGGAAGGAAGAGGAAAAGCATTGCTGATTTCTGATTTCCCCACCTCCATGAGGCCCCTCTTCTATCAATGAGGCTGCCTTCTTTCCCCCACGGTGGACAGGCTTGCCCCTACCTGGTGACCTGCAGGCAGCTGACCCTCTCGCCGATACCAGGTGAATGTGGCCTGGGGCTGGCCTGGAGCAACGCACGACAGATCCAGGGTCTCTCCTTCAACAGCGGAGGAGGAGGAAGCCTCAATCCTCAGGGCTGGGGCAGACCCTGCGGCTGCACGAAGGGAATAGAAAACACTTCAAATGAGTCGGGCCTGTCATGCAGCACGTCTGGGTTGCCTAGCGACAGAGAGGGGAGCAGAGGAATCTTACGGTGGGAGGGGCCCTCGCTATCCTGGATGGTGACCACCAACGCTGCCTCCTGGACAGCGTTAGGGCTGCTGATGCGGCAGACGTACTCGCCGGAGTGGGCGGAGGAGACCTGCGGGATGCGGAGGCGAGTGCCCGAGACCTGTCAAGGAGAGGTAAGTTACCCACTCACCGCAATGGTGCCCCCGTTGGTATTTGGCTCTCCCGCTGGCTCTCCTTCCCCAGAGAGGAGCTGGGAAGGCTGAAAGGATCGAGGATTGCCACCAGGGGTGGTATTTACTTACCTTCGCTACCGGTTCGCAAATGTGAGCGCGCACGCGGGGCCTTCTGTGCATGAGCAAGACCTCCCGCGCATGAGCAGGGCCTTCTGTGCATGCGCAGAGCATCAAAAACGGGACGTGATGATGTCTGGGAGGGTGGGCAGAGTCTCCCACAGCCACCGCTATCGGTTTGCCCAAACCGGATAGAACCGGCTGAATACCACCGATTGCCACCCTCACCCAAGTGAAGTGAAGCAGACGCGCCTTTCCCTCTCTACCTGGTGGTTGGGTGGGAGGGGTCCTCCTCTCTTGAACCAGCTGACTTTGGGGTGCGTCTGGCCAGCCACGAGGCAGTTCAGCTCCATGGTTTGCCCCTCGGCGAGTGAAGAGGAGGAAGATTCAATCCATACTGGCAGGATCACCCCAGAAGCTGCAGAGAATGAGGAAATGTTGGATTGCATCCCCCCGTTGCTGGGCTCCCCAATTTCCCTTCCTCCTCTTTTCCCTCTGGCCAGGGAGGGGCCTGCCACATGCCACAACGGGCACCTACTGGATGAGCCGCCTGAGCTGCTGGAAATGGACACCATGATGGACGTCTCCAGTCGGCTGGTGCCATCGTTCGCGTAGCAGACGTACTCGCCCGAATCGGCTGCCGAAACTTGCGAGATCCGGAGGCGGGTTCCAAAAATCTGTTGCCGAGGGAAAAAAAGCAGACAACGAAGAGCTGATTTCTTTTACCAACTGAAGCCATTTTCCACTCCCACCCTCCTTGGATTTCCCAAAGCCCCGATGTCAAGGTCCAGCGTGAGAATCCAAATAAAACTCCAGGTTCATTCTGTTCCCGAAAATCTTGCTGTTTATTGAATACACTGCATGGTAACGTCGAAGTAAAACTAACTCTGAGGTTCCCAAACACCAGTTGATAGAATTAAACAATAATTTTCCCAGCCAAACCCTCGACCTCTCACATTGTCCTCGCTTAGTTATGGGAACCGTCTGCTTCAACCCTACACCTGTTATGATGTCCTTGAGAAGGTTTCAGGCTCTCACAGTCTTCAGCGGAATCGCAAAGTTTCTCCATCTAACACATTCTAAACCAACACCTCCCTCCCCACTCTAATGGTAAGTTGAAACGAAGAGGCACACAGCTGTTAAAGTTTCATCCTTGACACTCGGTTTCCATTTCTTAAGCCCCCAAATATTACGCCAAGGCATTTCAGGAGATCCCTCATCACAAGACCAAAAATGCATAACACACATTCTGAAAAAATAATGTCTGGATAATCCAGTTTGCCCATAATCACAAGCCCGCTTCCTTTCCATCAGCCTCCCTCTGCAGCCTCTGGGTCTCCCAAAGCCCACCTTTGCTCAAATGCTGCGGGAATCTCTGCCACGTCCCCTTACCTGACTGTGGACGGGCAGGGCGCCCTCGCGCTTGTACCACATCACCCTGGCTTGGGACTGACCGGCCACCAGGCAGTTCAGGTCCAAGGTCTGCCCCTCGGAGATGACTGAGGAGGGGGTTTCAATCCTGATCGGGGGAGTGACGCCCACAGCTGGAAGAGCCAGGAGGAAGGAGAAAACAGGGAACCTGTCAAGATCCGAAGCGTACTCATGCTGCTTTCATTTTTACTGCTTCTCAGCTTGCCAATGAACAATGGGGGGAGGGAAGGGAGAATTGGAATGTGGATTGTAACCATCAAGCACTCAGCCCGTGAGAACCAAGGTCACTTCAGCAGGTGCTTGCCAGACCTTCCAGAGCAACTTCTCATAACAATATTGTGACACTTAATTGGACAATGTGTCCTGCACTATTGGAGGGAGGGAGGAATCTATACTTCAATTATATTGAATTGCGCGGGAAATTAGCCAGAGCTGATTTTGCTTTCATTCTGTGCCGAAATGATGTACACAATAAAGTTTTGCATTGAGATCCAAATTGGACCGTCCAGTGGTGGAGATATCGGCGGTAGTTTCGGAGCCCCGAAACTTCCCGTCGTCTTGTCGCGACGCCAGCCCCGCCTCCCCTCGACAGCCCCTCGACAGCTCCATTTCAATGACAGAGAGCCCCATGGAGCAGGCAATCACATCCTCCAGCCCAGCTCCCGTGGGGAGGGGGACTTACAGTAGGAGCCCAATTCACCCTTGATGGTCACCAGCAGCGAGGCCTCGTGAATGGCCGAGCCGTGACTGACGCGACAGACGTATTCTCCAGAGTCAGCTGGTGAAGCCTGTGGGATGCGGAGGAGGAAGCCGGAGACCTGGGGAGAGGCGAGGGGAGGGATGGGAAGCGCCTTCCAGGCACTGGCTTTTTTCCTTGCAGCACCTGGAGGTGTTTCCAGGACAAAAGCCCCATTTGGTGAGCCCCGCGTGGGCGGTGCCATACCTGGTGGCCGGCAGGAAGAGCACCTCCTCGCTTATACCAGGTGATTTTCGCCTGCGGCACAGAGGCAGCCACGATGCATTTAAGGTCTAAGGTGTGGCCCTCGGAGGGCGAGGTGAAAGAAGACTCGATCTGTACTGGTGGGACAACCCCAGCGGCTGCAACAGGCACAAGAGAAGACAGGTCAGGGCTGTCACCAAATGTCCCCAACCCAGCCAGGGAGAAGCCAAGCCTTGGAGAGGTCCCAGAGTTGCTGCCTTCTCTTCGTAACCCTTGTGAGGCAAAGAAGCAGACCCTTTAAGTCAGGGGTGAAATGTAAAATTTGTTACTACCGGTTCTGTGGGCGTGGCTTGGTGGTGGTGGGTAATGTGACTGGGTGGGCGTGGCCAACTCTTTTTTTTTTTTTAAACTTTTAAAAGCATTTTTTCTACAGCCTCTCCGGCCGAACAGGTTGCAGAAAAAAATGCTTTTAGAAGCCTCTGATGATCGCGCGGCTCAGCTGGGATCGTCCGAGGCTTTTAAAAGCATTTTTTCTACAACCTCTTCGGCCGAACAGGTTGTAGAAAAAATGCTTTTAAAAGCCTCGGACGATCCCAGCTGAGCCGTGCGATCATCGGAGGCTTTTTTTTTTAACTTTTAAAAGCATTTTTTCAGCTGAAGAGGTTGTAGAAAAAATGCTTTTAAAAGTAAAAAAAACAGCCTCTGATGATCGTGCGGCTCAACTGGACATGGGGGGGGAGCCCCGCAGGGATTTTTGCTACCGGTTCTCTGAACCACCCACAGTAGCGATCCATCGCTACTGGATCGGGCGATCCGGTCCGAACCGGGAGCATTTCACCCCTGCTTTAAGTGTTCCAGGGCTTAGAATTCCTTTCAGGACCCTCTACAGCTAGTCCTCGACTTACGACCACAATTGAGCCCAGAATTTATGTTGCTAAGTGAGACCGTTTGCCCCATTTTACGTCTTTTCTCGCCACGTTTGTTAAGCGAGTCACGGCAGTTGTTGTTAAATGAGTAACACCGTTGCTAAGTGAGTCCGGCTTCCCTATTGGTTTTGCTTGTCAGAAGGTCACAAAAAAGAGAATCGAGTGACCCCTCCCGGGACACTGCGACCGTCATAAATACGAACCAGTTGCCAAGCATTGTAATGTAAATCCCAGGGATACTGCAAACGGTCGTAAGTGTGAAAAATGGTCATAAAGTCCCTTTTTTCAGTGCTGTTGTTAATGTTGAAAAGTCACTAAGCGGACTGTTGTAAGCCGAGGACTGCCTGTATTCCCTCCCTTCGCCAGTACCGGTTCGCCTGAACCAGACCGAACCGGCTGAATCCCACCTCTGGAGCAGCTTCAAGAGAAAGGAGTCCTTACGGAAATTGGGGCTGCTCTCCTGCTGCTGGACGGTGACCAAGACGGAGGCTTCCTGGCTGGCGGCATCGGAGCTGACCCGGCAAACGTACTCTCCGGAGTCGGCCGGAGAGATCTTGACCAGACGCAGGCGAGTTCCCAAGGCCTGAAAGAGGATGGCACCCTTATCAGCGCGCCCTTAAATCAACCTCGCTGCACTGACTATGAAGTATGGATTTATAGATTTTACGCTGGAGGAAAAAAAAACCTGATGATTCTAAAACCCTAAAAAAAATAATGAAAATAACGCCCTTCTTTTGTATTTGGAGCGAGGAGACGTTTCCGAATCCTTGGTTGAAAATAATGATCCTTTATACAGCAGCCTTTGCAGAATGGCCCACCGTATCCGCCCTGCATCACCAACGTCTATCTCAGAGGCAGGCGGAGCTCGGTTCGTACACAGACTTAAGGCCAGGCCTGGTGAGCCAGACTTTGGAGACACCTGATTCTGTTTGTCATGCCCCTGCTGGAGTCTGAATCTGTGGGGGAAGATGAGTTGGAACAGGAGCCGACGGAGATCAAGAGGGCGGCTCCGTTGGCCTTGGAGGAAGCTGGGGAAGGGCATAGTCAGTTCGGGGAGGGCTTTTCAGGATTAGAAAGGCTTGCAGACAGGGAGGAGCAGGAGAGACAGAGCTCAGTTGAAGAGCAAGGACCGCCCCCTCCTGATCCTAGATCACGGAGAGAAGAGAGAAGGCGAGAACAACGCAGACTGAGTCGGCTACCAGGGAGGAGAGTGCCCTGCCCCCCCTTTACAAGGCACATTTGGGACTGAGATGTAAGGAGGTGCCGGTGGGAGGGACATCTGTCAGGAACAAGCGTTGAATCAGTGAAGCCTCATGTGCATTTCCCAATGCCTGGAGATTACTGTGCTCTGTGCTCTGTCCGGTTTGCCCACTTCACTGAACTTCTTGCTCTGGTTACTGTTTGGCTAACCTGGCTTACTGGACTGCTCGCAGCCAGAGGCTGCTGAAGGTGTGTGTGAGAGCTTTGCTCCAAGACTTGTAGTAAACGTGGGGACGTTTGGGGGCAAAGTTGGAGCAATAAAGGGGAGTTAGACCTGCTCTCTAGCTGTGTTGCTTTCGTGCCACGCCCCAGGTCATCATACCGTTTCCCCAGCAGCAATTTCTGGGCTCCAAAGTCCGAAGAGTGTTTTCCAGCTAATCAAAGTGCTTTGAAACTGGCATTGTGCCCAGGAGCTAATTTAGGGCACTCTGCGGGCAACGAGGTGCCTTCGAGACTGTAGCTTCTAGCTCCCAAATGCCAAAGTGGCCCCAAAGCTGTTATCCAGTTAAGGCTATGTCATGCCTGTACCTGGTGGTGGGCTGGCAGGGCTTCACCCCGTCTGTACCAGGTAACCATGGCCTGCTCCGAATGGGCAACCACACAGTCCAGCTCCAGTGTTTGCCCTTCCGCTATGATAGACGAGGAGGCCTCGATCCTCACCGGGACAGCCACGCCAAAAGCTGGAGAGAGCAGAAGGGAAGGTGAGGAACCCGCCAGCCCCCAGCAACCCCGGCCCTCCTGCAGGAAGCCCCACACCTACTGGAGGAGGAGCGGGTGACGGAGATGAGGATGGAAGCTTCTCGGGTGAGGGAATCTAGGTTGACGCGGCAGACGTATTCCCCCAAGTCAGCCGGGGAGATTCGGGGAATGCGCAGATGGGAACCGGAGACCTGCGGGTTGAGGAAGAAGAGACAGTCGGCACACAAATGAAAGGGATGCCGTAAACCAGGGTTCACCAATCCCCAATCCGTGTACCAGCCACCGGGCTGCGGCATGCCAGAAACTGGGCCACGCAAACAAGCAAAGTCCCATCCGCGGGATGCAGGCAGCATGAGAAATCTCGCCCACTCCGGTCCGTGGAAAAGCCGCTCTCCACGGAACCGGTCCCTGGTGCCCAAAAAGTTGGGGGACGCTACTGTAAACACCCTCCCATGGAGGAGAGGTTCCCCCCACCCCAGCCCCGAGGGGCTCCCCTACCTGGTGGCCAGCTGGCAAGGATCCGCCTCGTTTATACCATGTGATGGTGGCGCCAGTTTGGCCGGCCACGACACAGTTCAAGTCCAAGGCTTGTCCTGGGACAAGGGAGAGCGACGAAGGCTCGATCCAGAGCGGAGGCCTAACTCCCGAGGCTGCAAAGATAGGAGGAAGGAACTGACCATCCGTTAACAGACCTCTCCCCTCCTGCCAGCCCTCCCTTACAGGCTTCTATGGGCCTGGTTGGAAGGGGAGAGCTGAACATCCCCTGGAAATGCCCTGGTTCCCCTTGGGCTTGGCCTGCCTTCTTTGGCCCTTCCATCTCCAAGGGCTGGACCGATAAAACGCACAGGTTCCGGATCCTAACCTGGGACCCGAGCTTCTGAGTCACTTTCGGAGCTGCTGTGCACAGTGATCACTCTGGACACCTCTCGAACGACGCCGCTGTCACCGTCAGTCACCCGACACACATATTCGCCCGAGTCCGCTACTGTGGCTTTGAGAATCCTCAAATGGAGGCCGGAAATCTGAAAGGAGAAGGCGGTTGAGAAATGTGGTGAGGACCCCAAAAAGGGAGGAAGAAACCCGCGCTCTAGCCAAGGGTCTCCAGCCGTGCCCGCCGTACCTTGCGATTAGTCGGGAGGGACCCGTCCCGCTTGTACCAAGTGACTCTGGGCTGCGAGAGGCCAGTGACCTGGCAGGAGAGGTCCAAGGACTGACCCTCGGCAATGGAAGAGGAGGCAGAGTCAATCTGGACTGGCGACTGAGGCCCTGAGGAAGTCAGAAGACAAGTCAGCTTCTCTCGCCCACCAATTCCGGGGCTCCGTTCCCAAGCAAAGATGGCCGGGAAGGGAGACAAAAAGGATGCCCCCCCCCCAAACATTTTTGTGCCCCAGTTGGTGACTCCTGGCTCTCCTTCCCACACTCATTTATTTATTTATCATTTATTTTATTATTTAAATTTATATACCGCCCTTCTCCCGAAGGACTCAGGGCGGTGTACAGCCAAAAAAAATAAAAACATAGAAATATAAAATTTAAAACAATTTAAAAGTATATTAAACGAATTTGGCCCATATTGATTAAAAAACCCCTTTTTTAAAAAAACGAATTAAAAACAATTAAAAGAGCTACGCCAGCCCGGCTTGCTGGAATAGAAAAGTGTTGAGGGCACGGCGGCGGAAGGTGCGTAGATCCGGGATCCTTCGTATCTCGGGGGAAGTTCGTTCCAAAGGGCAGGTGCCCCACAGAGAAGGCCCTCCCCCCTGGGGGCCGCTAGTCGACATTGTTTGACGACGGCACCCTGAGGAGCCCCTCTCTATGGGAGCGTACTGGCCGGTGGGAGGCTACCGGTGGCAGAAGGCGGTCTCGTAACTACTCAGGTCCTAAGCCATGGAGCGCTCTAAAGATGGTAACCAATACCTTGAAGCGCACCTGGAAGACCACCGGGAGCCAGTGCAGCTCGCGCAGGAGAGGTGTTACATGGGGAGTGCCATGTCGCTCCCACAATCACCCGCGCGGCCGCATTCTGGACCAGTTGAAGCCTCCGAGTGCTCTTCAAAGGGAGCCCCATGTAGACAGCATTACAGTAATCCAGGCGGGACTCAGGTGTGGTCGTTTTGGCCTTACCTTGAGAGGAAGTGGGGCTCTGCTGGATGGTCACCTTGATGGAGGCTTCCTTCGGGCCGGCTCCATTGCTGACTCGGCAGACATATTCCCCGGAGTCAGCGGCCGAGACCTCTAAGATTCGCAGGAGGGACCCATAGATCTAGGGAGGAAGCAGCATTGCTGTGTGCCACGACACCTGTTACACCGTGGAAGTCTCCCCCCCCTTTTCTTTAAGTGTTTAATACAGGTAGTCCTCAACTTACGACCACAACGAGAGCCCATAATTTCTGTTGCTAAGCAAAACATTGCTTAAATGACTTTTGGACCCCATTTTACAACTTTTCTTGCCACCTGTTGTGGTCCGCCAGCAGCCTGCGGAGCTGGCAGAGGAGTCGGACAGCGAGGAGGCTGAGGAAGAACATGGGCCAGTCCTGGAGGCTGGGGAAGTCCCGGATGAGGGCTCTGTGTTGGGGCAGAGATGGAGCCAAGGCCATCTGGGTGTGATGTGCAGACTCCGGAGCCTCCAGAGGCTGACAGTAAAGAGGCAGAGGAACAGGAGGAGCTGTTCCTAGTGCACGTATGAGAAGAGCTGCTGGACGGCAAGAGCAGCTAAAGCAAAGAGGACGACTTGGGAGTAAGGCCAAGAGATGATTGGCCCCTCCCATAAGGCTTAAAACAGACCAGCAAAGGCTCTTGGGCCTCTTTGTCAGAAAACAACGTTGATAGAATTGTTCTTGTCTTGCTGCACTTATCTCTGGTCGGCGTCTTCTGCTTCTGAACTTTTGCCAAGAGAAGCCTTTGGCAGTTTGCCTAATTATACCAAGGTTGGTGATTAGACTGAAGAATTTTGTGTTATGAGGAATTTGTTTTGATTTAGTTTCGGACTACGCTGAGAATGAGTTTAATTCTCAGCTGTTCTAATAAAGTCTGTTGTTTTGGAACTGTTTTGCGTCTAATACTACTTACTTGGGCCTGGGTCACAACACCCACCGTTCTCAAGTGACCCGCTGCCGTCGTGAACTCAGTAACCCCGTTGTTAAGTGAATCTGTCGTGTGATCTCGGGACATTGCAACCGTCATAAATAGCCTTAAGTCATTTTTTCCAGTGCCATTGTTAACTTCGAACGGTAACTAAATGAACTGTTGTAATTCAAGGACTACCTGTATCTGCCCCCCCCCCCCACTCTCCATCACAGCTTTATTTCTTTACTGGGATCCTGGCTTATAATTGAGTGGAATTCTTCATCCTCTTACAATTACAGCCCTCTTTTCTGAAAAACGTCCTGAGAAAATTTAATCTTATGCATTCTTTTGGAAAAAAAAAAAAAAGAGAGAGAGATCTTTAGGGTCGGATGAGACCAACCGCTCTGAATGAAACATATGTTCTGATCTAGGCTTCCCAAGAGCACAAAGCAGACTCCTTGTCCCGACAAAAAACCCTTTTTATTAAGTTACTGTGAATTCCTCTCATTCACATCCAGCAAAGTCTTTCAAGGGAGAATTTACAGTCACAGACCTTATCTGGCTTGGGAGATGCCAGGCCGAAAACGTGGCAAGGAGTCACAAATCAATTAAGCAAACTAATTGTCTCCTGCAAACTCCACTGCCCTTTCGCTCCTCTTTTATTCCCGCTGGGAGGGGCCATTCATTGTCCATCTGTGGCTTTACTCCTGAGTCGCCCCTTGTTCTTTCAGCTGTTCCCTTCGTCTGGCAACTCTGCGATGCGCACACTGGGAACAGGCTCCAGCTGTTCCCTCTCCCTGATGTCTGACTCCGAAGGCAGCTGATAACTGGCATCCGGCCCTGGCCCCATCTCTGCCTTTGACGCAGAGCCCTCATCAGAGCCTTCCCCAGACTCCAGGACTGGCCCATGTTCCTCCCCAACCTCCTCTCTGTCCGAATTGGCTGCCAGATCCGCTGGTTGCTGGCGGGCCACAACAATGTATTCTTTCTCCTCGTAATCAAGAGGAAACTCCTTATCGTTTCTGGCAAGCCAGGGAGGCTCTTTTCCAACTTCCCCCCTTTCGTTGCCCAGAATGAAACCAGGGAGGCCCCCACAGAGAAAGGGGGATGCGGCCGCCCACTCCCCCTCGAGCCCCGGGAGAGTCCGAACCTGGTGGTTGGCTGGTAGGGCCCCTCCACGCCGGTACCACGTGACGGACGCTGTAGGGTGGCCGGCCACCACACAGTTCAAGTCCAAGGACTGGCCTTCGGTGACCGAAGAGGACGAAGGTTCAATCTTAACGATCGGTGAACGCCGGACGCTGAACGGACACAAAGGGCAAAAAGAAAAGAGGGGAAGGACATGACTTGCACTGCGAGGGGACGAGTTCCAGTCCAGGTTTGAATAGGCCCGTGATGGCGAACCTATGGCACGCATGGCAAGCAAAAGCCCTCTCTGCGGGCACGTCGCCCAGCTCAGCTCCATCGTGCATGTGCGCACATGCCTGCTACGGCCAGCTGATTTTCAGCATGCACAGGGGGTGTGGTGCACGCAGGAGATGTGCACACATGTACAGGGGGGTTGCGTGCACATGCGTGGGGCGAGGGGGGTTCTGCGCACATGCATGGGGATGGAGGGCAGCACGGGGGGTAGGGCGCAGCGCCCCCCCATTGCCCATTTTTGGGCCCAGGAGGCTGCAGGGAAGCCTACTAGACCCCAACGGGGTACGGGGGTGCGATGCGCCCCCCCACAGCCCATTTTGCCCTCAGGAGGCTGTAGGGAGGCCTACTAGGCCCAAACCAGGGGGTGGGGGGGGAGTGTCGTGTCCGCCCCCATGGTCCATTTTCGGGCCCAGGAGGCTGCAGGGAGGCCTACCAGACCCAAAACGGGGTACGGGAGGTGCGATGTGCCCCCACGCCCCATTTTGGCCCTGAGAGGCTGCAGGGAGGCCTACTGGGCCCAAAACAGGGGGGGGGGGAGTGACGTGTCCACCCCCATGGTCCATTTTTGGGCCCAGGAGGTTGCAGGGAGGCCTACTAAGCACAAAATGGGGGGGAGGGGGTTACCTGCGCATGCGTGGGGGGCAAGTGGAGCGTGGTCATGCACATGCATGGGTAGGTGGGAGGAGCATGGGGGGTCATGCATGCATGCACGGGGAGGGGTCATTGCATTATGGGTTTTGGCACACGACAAGAAAAAGGTTAGCCATCACTGGAATAGGCTGTCCTTGGGCTGACCTTGACCAGCTCGGCGTTTTGCTCAAACCAGCGCTTGCTTGGTTGATGTTTCAGGTGGAAGGCTGGCTACCCACAGAGAGAGATGCACGCACTGGGCACCGCAACTGGAAATAATTCAAGTCTGTCTCCCCTTCCCCCAGAAGAAAGAGGTCGCGCCTTACCCCGAATGACCGCTACTTCGATGCGGGCTCTGCCGACTCCCATCGAGCTGCTGCCCACGCACAAGTACACCCCACCGTCGGCAGCCGTGATGGAGGGTATCACCAGGGTGGAGATGTCGGTTCTCTCGGTGTGGGACTGCAGACACAAAGGGAAACCCACGTTGGGAGACCACAAGCGGCGGCTGGCTTCCCACCCTCCTGGGCCACATGGGGAAGGGAGGGCCAAGGAGGGCCCAGAGCTGGGCGGGGGCCGCCCTCATAGCATCCGTGAGCCCGGGCAGAAGCAAGAAAAGAGCCAGAAGCAACAGGCGAAGAGGATGCAGAATCGGGGGTGCAGCCAGCACAATCTGGGAGGATGGGGAAACATGACGCAGTTTGGGGGGAGATCTTGCTTCTCTCTGCTGGAGAACCAGAGACTGAAAGCCAAAGGAGGAAGACGGAGCCGACCGGCAGACCAACACGAGGGGCTCATGCAGAGGGATACCTGCTGGAACTCCGTATTCGCTGCCGGACGGCTTCCCAGCTGCCACTTTGCAAGTGGAAGAACCCAAAAACAGGAAGCGCCTGGCCCAGGATTGGGGGGCAAGAGAGAGAAGGAGAGAAAGGGAGAAGGAGGCATAGAGGCTGCCAGAAAAATCAGAAGCCCCAAAGAAGGCATCGCAGGCTGGGTCTGCTCCTGGCCCATATCTTCCTTCGGGCAACCTCACCTGGACCCCAAGGTCTGGGAAGGGCCCTCCTTCCTGGGAGGCCAGGCCTTACCTGTGGAGGCAGGCTGCTGCCCTCTTTCTCCCAGGTGATGGTGGCCGCTGGGGAGCCCGCAGCCCGGCAGTACAGTCTGACGGTGCTGCCCTCCTGCACCTCTGTCCGTTCGGGGCTCACCTGCACTTGGGGGACGTTGGTACCTGCCCAGGAGCAAAGGGGAGGTCCAGTCCTCTCTCTCTCTCTCTCTCTCTCTCTCTCTCTCTCCCCCCCCCTCTCAGACCATCATGCCATTTATGGCTTTGTTCTCTGGTCGCCCCACTTAAATTCACTGTGGAGATTTCTTTTTTTTTTTATTGAAAAAGTTTTACAAACATCAATTTTCCCCCATTTTTCCCCTCCCCATCTCTCCCTTAACTCCCAAGCCCTCCCCTCCCCCCATGACTTCCTCAAGGTGAAATCTATCCACATTTATTATATCAGAGTTTACCACCCCTCTATTCTCCCCCCTGTGTACTATACAATTCTTCATAACAATAAGCTATTTTGCCCCTATAAACTATACATTTCTACACAACATTTAGCTAAAAGCTATCTGGTACTTCCTAGTTTGATATTTGTTCTGCACATAATCTATCCATTTCTTCCACTCCCATGCATAGTCTCTTGAGTCCGGTCTTTTAAGTATGCTGATATCTTCGCCATTTCTGCAAAACTGGCCACCTTCAAAGTCCATTCTTGAATTGTAGGCATATCATCCCTTTTCCAATATTGACCAATCAATAACCTAGCTGCTGTCACCATATACAATATCAATTTTGTTTCCCCCACTGAAAAACCCTTAACCCTTAAATCTCCCTTGTGGAATTTCTTGCCTTTGGCAAATTTGATTAGGTATCAGCTAACTCTCCAAGTGGTGCGGTGGCCTAGAGGTGGAGCTCTCGCCTCAGGAGGGCTGTGAGTTCGATCCTAGGTAGAGGCAGATATTTCTCTCTCTGGGCGCAATGAGAATATATCTGCTGAACAAAACTCGGCACTGGAGACAGGAAGGGCATCCGGCCAGTAAACGCTCTGCCAGCTCCATTCTGTTGCCCAGACTCCACCCCGCAAGGGATTATGGGGTCGTTAAATGATGATGATGATTCGTCGGCAGCTGAAAGAGTGGTGCGGTGGCCTAGAGGTGGAGCTCTCGCCTCACAATCAGGAGGCTGTGAGTTCGATCCTAGGTAGAGGCAGGTATTTCTCTCTCTGGGCACAATGAGAATATATCTGCTGAACAAAACTCCGCACTGGCGACAGGAAGGGCATCCGGCCAGTAAAACACTCTGCCAGCTCCATTTAGTTGCCCAGACTCCACCCTGCAAGGGATTACGGGGGTCTTTAAAAGATGATGATCAGCTAAGTCCCTACTCTTTCTGCCTGAAGAAGAATCAATCCTCCTGGATGGATGGACTCTGAGGTCTGGGGAGGCACTCAGAAGAGCCCCATTGTCTTCAATCTCACGCTGAGGAAGAGAGAACTGAAGGGTTGCTGGGGGCCACCTCTCCCTGTGACATCCTGCCTTGTGGCACGCTTCGTCCTTGGGGCCGGAGAGACCCCACCTCAACTTACTTTGCACTTGCAGGAAAGCTCGAGCCATGTGCTGCCCGGCGCTGTTTTGCACTCGGCACAGGTACTGGGACTCGTCGGCAGGCTCGACCGCAGGGAAACGCAAGATCCCATCCTGGATTATGGCCTTGGGGGAGATGACGCCCCTGGGTCCTCCTGGAGCAAAGACAAAAGCTTCCCAGTTATCTGAAGAGAGGGGGTTTTCTGCTTATGGGGAGAGAGGATGCTGGGCCCTCCGTTCTGCCCCACGCTGGGCACAAAACCGAGTCTTGGAATACCCAGCTGAAAACAAACTCAGCCAAGATAGACACAATGATGCATTCTTTAGAATAGGGGTGTCAAACTCAAGGGCCGCAGGCCGGATCTGGCCCCTCGGGGTGTTTAGATCTGGCCCACGGGGCTGACCTAGAAACAGCGAAAGACTGGCCCACGCAGCCCTCCCGAGCTCCGTTTTCACTGGCAGAGGGTTGCAGGAGGACGTCGCAGTGGAAAACAGAGCTTGGGAGCCCATTTTCGCTGATAGAGCGCTCGGGACACCACAGGGACCACCAACACGAGTGACTCGAGCTGGCCATGCCCCCCCATCCCCGAGGTCAAACCCCACCCTGATGCGGCCCTCAATGAAATCGAGTTTGATACCCCTGCTTTAGAAGGTTCCCCTATAAACAGCACAATCCCGCGTTAAAGTACATGTGTATCCTGCACAATGATATGACTATCATTAAGTGTTGTACCTTATGATTCTTGATGAACGTATCTTTTCTTTTATGTACACTGAGAGCGTATGCAGCAAGACAAATTCCTTGTGTGTCCAATCACACTTGGCCAATAAAGAATCTATTCTATTCTTTCTATTCTATTCTATTCTATTCTATTCTATTCTATTCTATTCTATTCTATTCTATTATATTCTATTCTATTCATTTAATTTAATTTAATAATTTAATTTAATTTAATTAATTTAATTTAATTATATTTAATTTAATTTAAATTTAATAATTTAATTTAATTTAATTTAATAATTTAATTTAATTTAATTTAATTTAATTTAATTATATTTATTTAATTTAATTTAATAATTTAATTTAATTTAATTTAATTTAATTTAATTTAATTTAATTTAATAATTTAATTTAATTTAATTTAATTTAATTTAATTTAATAATTTAATTTAATTTAATTATTTAATTAATTTAATTTAATTTAATTTAATTTAATTTAATTTAATTTAATTTAATTTAATTTAATTTAATTTAATTTTTTAATTTATATGCCGCCCCTTTCGAAGACTCAGGATATATTCTATTCTATTCTATTCTATTCTGTTCTGTTCTGTTCTGTTCTGTTCTGTTCTGTTCTGTTCTGTTCTGTTCTGTTCTGTTCTGTTCTGTTCTGTTCTGTTCTATTCTATTCTATTGTTTTTCTTTGAAGATGTCAATTGAAGAAGCTTCTGGGATGAGAAGCAAAACGTCTTCAGAGAAAAACCCCAGAAAATCCAGTTGCCTCTTGGAAAAAAAGCACCTTTGGGGTTTTGAGGCTTCTTAAGGTTGCCCACCTGGTCTGAGCTTTCCTGGTTGCCAAGCCGAGGTCAGCCAGACCGGCTGGCTTGAGGGAGTCTCTTTCAGAGCAATTCCAGGGCTTACCGATCCACTCCACGGTGGGCTCTGGGCTTCCGGTCACGATGCAGCGAAACTCGGCTGGTTGACCTGGCTGGACGCTCAGCTGGGAGGGTTCAATGGCGGCCGTGGGCTGGACGGCAGCGGCAGCTGCAGGAGGAAGCAGGTTCGGCTTGGTCAGAGCTGGGCAGGGTGGGGGGAGAGAGGGGGGAAAGGCGCCCACAAGGATTCCAGAGCCAGGGCTGAAATCCTTGGCAAGGCCCGAGATCCCTGCTGGAAGAAATGGCCGAGCACACTATGCGCATGCAGGCAAGAAAATGCGAGGCAAGCATGGACAGAAACATGACCAGAAGAACAGGGCATGGAAAGTGGGGTGGGGGGTGGGGGGTGGGGAGAACGGGGGCAGATAGAAGAGTCTGCCTACCCTTTGCTTTGTTGGCCTATGAGTCAGAAGGGCAACTCAGCATCCCAGAGAATGGAGGAGGAGGCAGAGGGGGAAGAGGAGGAGGGAGGAGGAAGAGGAGGAGGAAGAAGAGAAGGTGGGAGGAGGAGGAGGGAGGAGGAGGGGGAGAGGAAAAAGAGAAGGAGGAGGAAAAGGAGGAGGAGGAAAAGGAGTAGGAGGGAGAGGAGGAGGAAGGAAGAAGAGAAGGAGGGAGGAGGGGGGAGGGGAAGAGGAAAAAGAGAGGAAAAGGAGGAAGAGGAGGAGGAAAAGAGGTAAGAGGAGGAGGAGGAAGGGAGGAGGAAAAAGGAGGAGGAGGAAGAGGGAAGAAGAGAAGGAGGAGGAGGAGGAGGGGAAGAGGAAAAGAGAAGGAAAAGGAGGAAGAGGGAGGAGAAAAGAGGTAAGAGGAGGAGGAAGGGAGGAGGAAAAAGGGAGGAGGAGGAAGAGGAGGGAAGAAGAGAAGGAGGGAGGAGGAGGGAGGGGAAGAGGAAAAAGAGAAGGAAAAGGAGGAAGAGGGAGGAGAAAAGAAAAAAGAGGAGGAGGAGGAGAAAAGGAGGAGGAAAAAGGAAGAGGAGGAAGAGGAGGGAAGAAGAGAAGAGGGAGGAGGGGGAGAGGAAAAAAGGAGGAGGAGGAAAGGAGGAGGAAAAGGAGAGGAGAGAGGAGGAAGGAAGAGAGAAGGAGGGAGGAGGAGGAGGGAGGGGGAAGAGGAAAAATAAGAGGAGGAAAAGGAAGAAGAGGAAGAGGGGAGGAAAGAGAAAAAGGAGGAGGAGAAGAGAAGGAGGAGGAAAAAGGAGGAGAAGGAAGAAGATGGGGGGAAGAGGAAAAAGAGAAGGAGGAGGAAAAGGAGGAAGAGGGGGAGGAAAGAGGAAAGAGGAGGAGAAGAAAAGGAGGAGGAAAAAGGAGGAAGAGGAGGAGGAAGGAAGAAGGAGGGAGGAGGAGGAAGGAGGAAGAAGAGGAAAAAGAGAAAGGGAGGAAAAGGAGGAAGAGGAAAGAGGAGAAGGAAGAAGAGGAAGAGAAGGCGAAAGGTCAAACAGCACCAGCCAAAGAGGTGTTCCAGTGGGGGGTGGGGGGGGGTGGACAGGCACCTGCAGGCCAAACCGACTTACAAGGTCTGTGGCCTTCCACCATTTCTACGGGACCATAGAACATCTGGGTCTTCGATGGAGCTGAAAACAGGGTTGGGGGAGAGGGGGTGGCGGGTGAAAAGGTTGGCCGCGTGATGAGCTGCCTCAAGCAGGAGCCTCGCGAGTCCAGGAGCCGTCTTAAAAAGACCGGCCTCCCGTTCCCACTCAGCCCTCCCGCTCTGTGGATGAGAGCAGAAGCATGTCTTTGCGTGAGCCTGTGAGGAAACCGCTGGTCCTGGGGTGGCAGCCCGGATCAGTGTAGCGCTCGGGAGATGCGGGCTGCTGGACCAAGTTGGAGGCGTCCCTCCCTGCCCAGCCGGCAGGCACAAGAGCCGAAGCCCCACCTTGTACGTAGAGGGTGGCCGTCCCCTCGTCCATGTCAAACATGTTGGAGCCCGTGCAGATGTAGATGCCGGCGTCCTCCGGCTGCACGTTCCGGATGGTCAGGATGCCGTTGAAGTCCATGGCGCGGCTGGGCAGCTTCGCGTTGTTCTGCCGTGTCCACGCCAGCGTGTAAGCGGGAGACTGCGGGAGAAAGCAGGAGGTGGACGGGTGAGAGAAAGGAGTAGGGGGAGGAGAGGCAGGAAAGGGTCCAAATGAACCCACCCTGCCCGATTCGGGAAAGGGAGGCGGCGTCCGCAGCTGGAAAGCTGGACATCCAGGAGGAATCTTGCAGGGGTGGGCTTCAAAAATTTTAGCACGGGGTTCTCTGCCCGGTTGCTGGGTGGCCGTGGCCATGGTCGCCGTGGCCTAGTCAGCCTCCTGTACCACAAGAGGGGGGGGCATTTTTGCCTTGTCCGGGCTTTGTCCTCCTTCTTTGAGCCTCCGGGAGGGCGAAAACGGCCTCCCCAGGCTCCGGAGGCCTTCTGGGGGCCGGAAACGGGCCTTCCCAAACTTCCAGTAGGCCCTTTTTTCACCCTCCCCGAGCCTCCGCGCACGCCAGCATCCAAAACGGGGCCGTCTGGGGACTCCTGGGAGGGGAGGGGAGAGGTGGGAGGGGGCAGCCAGGACTGGGATATTTGGGGGTTCTCCGAACTGTGCAGAATCTTAGTTAGAGGTTCTCCCAAACCCCTGCGAACCCCCAGTAGCCCACCCCTGGAATCTCGACATGCTGAGCCGAGAGGCAACCACGTTGGTTCTCACGCTTCCCCTGTGCACTGCAGTGGCTCTGCAGGTCTCGACCAGCCCCCCTGGGACCCCACCAGGTGTACTTCTGCCTGCCACTTGCTCACCAGCAAAACAAACCAGACCCCTTTCTCTCTCTCTCCCTCCCCCGCCCCCCACCCCAAAGACTCACCTTGCTCCTGGCCGTGCAGAGGAAGGTGACGTCACTGCCTGGTTTTACGTTCTGCACCTTCTGCTCTTCCACCGTCACGGAGATAGCCTTGCTGGGACCTTCTGCGCTGGCCGAGAGAAGCCGGTCAGCCTTGCCCAGCTGGTTCTGGCCTCTGGCTCTCTCTCTCTCTCTCTCACCAGGGAAAGAGGGAGCCGGCCCTCGTCAGCTCTGCCGGGGGATCGGGGCGGGGAGGGGTGTCCCCTTACACGCCTCCCTATGCTCGGCAGCCCAGTCTCTGAGTGAAGCTTCTGTCTCACCTGTGACGATCACCTCGCTGCGGCTGGAGTTGGTGAACTGGGGGTTTCGGCAGGTGCAGACATAGACGCCGGCCTCCGAGGGCCGGATGCTAGCAAAGTGCAGCTCGACGCCTGCGGCGGATTCAGGAAGTTCAGGGTCAAAAACCAGCCGGTTGCTTTGCCTACAAGCAAGGATCCCCGACCTCTGGGCTGCACCCCACTAATGGGCCTTGGGTTGTTTGCAACCAGGCAAGTGGTGACACGCAATCCCACTTGTTCGAGCGGCAGGCGAGCGCCTGCATACGTGGTCCATTTGCATGACTGGTGGGTGCACGCGCACACTGTTTGTGTAAATGGCGTACATGCACACATGGCTTGCGCAGAACCATCCCCTCTTCCCCCCTCGCCGGTCCGCAAAGCCGGAAAGTTTGGGGAACTCTGGTCTACAGAATAGGCTGCCGTTTGTCTCCCCACCCCTACTCTGTTGAAATCTTGAGAACTAGAATCTTTGCTTTCCTTTTAAAACTAGGGCACAGAGTGGCTGCTTGCCCTGCAGAAGGCCCCAGCTCTGGGGTGAAATGCTACTGGTTCAGGCCGGTTCGCCTGAACCAGTAGTAAAAAATGCTACCGATTCGCCCGAACCAGTAGTAAAAAAAAATGCTTTATAAAAAAGTAAAAAAAAAGGTTCCGACGCTCGCGTGGCACAGCTGATCGTCAGAACTTTTTTAAAAACTTTTTTTAGTTAAAAAATGCTAAAAAAAAGTTGACCACGCCCACCCAGTCACATGACCCCACCACCAAGCCACGCCCACCAAGCCAGGCCCACAGAACCGGTAAGGAAAATTTTTGAATTTCACCACTGCCCCAGCTGAACCGCAGCCACTCTAGGGAAGCTTCCCACTTCAGAACCAAGTGCGTAGCCGAGAATGCAGCAACACTCGGCCGAGAGAAGGAAGCAAGGACCCCGTGAAGGGCCCTTCAGAGATCAATTCAAGCTCAAGGGATCCTCCCTGGCCAAGCGCCAATTCCTTTGACTGCAAAAACATGACTCTCCCTGTCCAGGTCGCTGTCCCTCCCCTTGTGGGTCTCCCTCCCTTCCCCGCTTTTGCAATCTGCCTAGTTGAGGGATGACACAGACTCACCTTGCTCCCTGCGCTGGGCAGTACTTGGCACAGGGCGCCCGTCTTCCCGGGACCAGTAGAAGTAATGGGGGGGCTCCCCACTGACCTGGCAAAGCAGCGTCACGTCGCTGCCCTGGGACACAGCTGTCCGGGAGGGATGGATTTGGACCACCAGGCGGGGCTGGTCGGGGGGTCCTGAGAAGGAGCAGGAGGCAGAGGGAGAGGCCGAGGTGAGGGGGCAGCTCAGCTCCCCCACTCCCGACTGTGAAAAACAGAGCCATCAGCACTACCACCCCCTTTCATACGACAATTCCACAACTAGCAAGTGCGTCTTTGCTCACCCGAAGGAAGACATTTCTGCCCACGGATGTTGGGGTTGCCCGTATATCCAGAGGCACATCTAGGGGGAGAACCAGAGACCCATCAGGAGGCTCTCAAGGGCTGCTGCCCCATCCCAGCTCAGCCCTTCCAGGGAAAGACCCACTCACTGTTCGCAATACTGGCCGGTGTAACCAGGTTCGCAGGCGGTGCAGCGATAGCCGCCGCCTTCCAGGCTCTCGCACGTCTGCGAGAATCTGCCAAAAAGAAAAAGGTGCCATCCTGAGCTCTGGCCGAGAGGGATTCCTGCCACGCCCTGCTCCCCCCACAAGAGGGCAGGTGGCTTACTGGTTCTCAGGATCCGGCAATGGGCAAGCGCACGGCTGGCAGTCCTCGGGGGTCCCGGCGGTGGCATCTCCGTAGTAGCCAGGGGCGCACCGTTCGCAGAACTCCCCAGCCGCGTGGTGCAGGCAGTGCTAGAGAGGGAAGGAAGGGAGGAAGGAAGGAAGGGAGGATAAATGGAGGGAGGGAGCGACAGAGGAAGGAAGGAAGGAAGGAAGGAAGGAAGGAAGGAAGGAAGGAAGAAAGAAAGGAAGGGCGAAAGGAGGGAGGGACAACAGGAAAGAAGGAAGGAAGGGGAAAGGAAGGAGGAAAGGAGGGAGAAGGAAGGGTGGGAGGAAGGGAGGGTAAATGGATGGAGGGAGCGACAGAGGAAGGAAGGAAGGAAGGGGAAAGGAAGGAGGAAAGGAGGAAGAAGGAAGGGAGGGAGGAAGGGAGGGAGGAAGAAAGGAAGGACGGGGGAAAGGAGGGAGGGAGCAACAGAGGAAGGAAGGAGGGAGGGTGGGAAAAGGGAGGGAGGGAGGAAGGAAGGAGGAAAGGAGGGAGGGAGCAACAGAGGAAGAAAGGAAGGAGGAAGGGAGGGAGGGAGAAGGAAGGAAGGAAGGAAGGAAGGAAGGAAGGAAGGAAGGATCGTCATTGTGGGAAAGAAAGGGGAACGGAAACCCAGAGACAAAGAGAGACTTAAGAAGGCCACATCGGAAGCCAAACCTTCCCACAAGTTTCCACTGCGGCTTTTTCCAAACGAAAACGCTCGTTTTAAAGAAAAGCCCCGTTTGATCCAATTAATTAAGAACAGGATAAATTGGATGGACAATTCAAAACAGACCCGTTTCATCCCTGCCAAAGTATCCCAACTCCCAGTTGCGTAACGTAAGTCATTTCCCTCACCCCCTTCCTCCCCCCCCCAGCCCCACATACTCTTCTCTCGGCTGCCAGATTCCATGCCAGCTTTAGAGCTTTGAACAGCCCAGCCGAAGCCGCTGCAAGCGGCACGGATGCCTTTCTCTGGCAGGAAAGGACTGCCGCTCTGGGCAGAGACCCTGCTTGGCATCTGGGGGGTGGGGGGGGATTCCAGTTCGAGCTCTCCTGATAGGATCAAAAAGGCCCCACCTCCTCCTAGCTGCCTCCCCAAGATTACCACATTTTTCAGAGTGTAAGACACACTTTTCCCCCCCTAAAAGGGGGTGAAAATTTAGGTGCTTCTTATACACCGAATGTAGCCCCACCCACCCTCTGGCCTCTGCCTCGCAGCAATTATGTCCTTGCAAGTAAACAGCAAGAAAAAACAGCTCCTTTCAGCTTCAGCACAGGCCAATTAGCACAAGTTGATTGGATCGGCCTCCTGACTCTCAGCTGTTTTGCGCAGGGTTCTGCTGCTTGCTGCAAAGAGGTAAATTGCTGGAACAGATTTTTTTTCCCTTTGCTAATCGAGCTATGCTGAAAACGAAACTGAAAGTAAAGCAGGCTGTTTGCTGTTTGTTGCAAGGAGGCAAAATTGCTCAGAGGCAGAGGCAGAGGCAGAGGCAGATTTCTTTTTCTTCTTTTCCTCACCCAAAAAGGTAGGTGCATCTTATACTCCGGTGCGTCTTACATTCCGAAAAATACGGTATTCCTTATTCCTGCTCCTCCCTCTTTGCTAGTGTCTTTGGCAAAGCTCAGAGAAGGGGCAAAGCCCGCCCCCCCCATCCCAGAAACTCAGGGGGAGGGCAGCAACCCAGAAGGGGGTCTCACCGAGCAAGTGCCAGTCTCAGGGTGGCAGGACTCCGAGTGCCCGTTGCATTCACACAGTGTGCAGTGGCCCAGGTACAGCCCTCCGCCGGTCCGGGTGTAGCCAGCCGCGCAGTCCTGTGGGAGAGAGAGAAGGCAGGAAGTGGGGGGGGGTGTCAATCAGTGCCTCCCCTGAGGCCTCCAGGTCCCGCCGGACCCAGCTGGTCGGCTCACCTGGCAAGAAAGGCCCTCGTATCCGGGCGGGCAGCGGCATTGCTCCACTTCCAAAGCCCGGGGCAGGCTGGTGTAGGTGGGCACCGCAGTCTCCATGCTGACGCCGGTGATGCCCGCCGAAAGCATGTCCGTGGAGTGGGTGGCCCGGATGAGGATCTCGTCCAGGTCGGCCAGGGCCATTAGCAGGTGCTCCCGCGTGGCGGGCTGCCCATCCGGCCGCTTCCAGAATTGCTGGGGAGAGAGAAAGGAGGTGGGAGGTCCGTTAAGCATGGAAAGGGGCAGGGCAGGGGCCACAGGTGGGACCCGGCAGCTGGACTGGTTCTGCAGCTCAGCCAGGAGGCAACAAGGGACCCACTGGGGTGCAGGAATGCCAGCCGGCTTGCTCCCTTCCTCCCTCCCTCCCCCGTGACTCTCCCTTTGCCTTACCTCCCGGAAGATGACCTCAAAAGCCTTGTGCTCGTGAGGCCGCAGCTCGGACAGGTAGGCCACTAGGGTGATGTCATTGCCCTGAAGGAGAGGAAGAGCAAGGGGGGGGAAGCGGTTGGTGGGTGTGGCCATGGTGGGCGTGGCCTAGTCGGCCTCCTGCACCCATGGTGGGGAGGGGCATTTTTGCCCTCCCCGGGCTCCAGAGGCTTTCCTCGAGCTTCTGGGAGGGCAAAAACGGCTTCCCCAGGCTCTGGAGGCCCTCTGATAGGGCCATTTTTCACCATCCCGGAGCCTCCGCGTGTGCCCTGCACTTACTTGCATCCAAAACGGGCCGTGTGGGGACTCCTGGGAAGGATGGGGTGGGGTGGGCAGGGCCAGCCAGGAGTGGGATTTGGAGGTTCTCTGAACTGCACAGAATCTTAGCTATAGGTTCTCCCGAACCCTTGCGAACCCCCAGCAGCCCGTCCCTAGGGGGGAGACTTCCACAGCAGCCAGAAGGGTCCCCAAGGAGAGCCTCATTTGCCCCAGCCCGTCCCCACCCACCCACCCACTTCCTACGGGGCAGAGAAGCCAATTGCTAATCCTTCCTCCAAGACGGGGAAGGCCAGGCAGAGTGCTTGAGAGAAGCCACAAACCAGAGCAGGATAAAAGAGAAGGGGGAATCCTGAGGGAGGGGCTCCAGCTTCCCCCTCCCCCCTGAAAGACCACTTCCAGGCAGGGTGCCCCCCTCCCCAACTTACGGTAATCTGTACATCCGCATCGGGCAGCGGGGTGCCTCTCCCTCCGGCCGAGTAGGAAAGGGTGTAGCGGAGGCGTCCCCCGTAGGATCCCACCTGCAAGGGTGAAAATGGAGACCCTCTGTTCGGTCACTTGTTCCCCCTTGGCCAGGCGGGGCTTCCGGTTCCAGCCAGGACCAAGAGGGACCAGTGTTCAAAGTGTGGCGTTTAGGCTTAGGGGGAAGATTCCTGTCCAGCAGGGGTAGTATTCACCTTTGTTACCTGTTCGCGCCACCTCCGCGCATGTTCAGGGCCTTCCGCGCATACACAGAGCATCAAAAAGGTGGATAAATGGGACGTGATGACGTCCAGGTGGGTGGGCAAAGCCTTCCGCAGCCGCCACTACTGATTCGCCCGAACCGGATAGAACCAGCTAAATATCACCACTGCTGTCCAGGCAGCTCAAGGCCGGGCGCTCGTAACCTGCTTGGACCCAGCGGGGATTTTAATCCTCTCTGCGACCCTGCGAGGTAGGCCAGGCAGAAGGCAGGCCGTCTGCCACGGGCTTCCCTACTTCTGCGCCTTTTTCTCACAACCCTCACGCAACAAATCGAGCAGGCACGAATCGAAAAGCCATTCGATGGAATTTCTCTCTGCTGGCTTAGCTCACGAGGCCTTCAGACGCGCCTGCACCCCTTAAATGAGGAATCTCCCTCAGATCCTCTGGAGAAGAAACGTCCTTTCTAAAAACTTTCCCCCAGTATTAATTCACACAAACCATTGCTGGGCACAACCTCATTCGAGTAAAAGCTCTGGAAAAAAATCAACCTGAGAACTACGTAGCTCACATTCTCCGCGACAGAGAAGCACCACACGCCGGAAGAAGGCTCCGTGCAAGGCAGGTAATCCTCGACTTACGACCACAAGCGAGCCCAACGTTTCCGTTGCTCAGCGAGGCGTTTGTCCCCAAGCGAGCTTCGCCCCGTTTTACAGCCTTTCTCGCCTCGGTTGTTAAAAGTGAATCGTCGCGGTCGTTCGGTGAGGAACGCGGCGGTTCCGTGAATCTGGTTTGCTTGGCCGAAGGTCGCCACAAGGGATCGCGTGCATCCCGGGAACTGTCATAACTCTGAGACGGCTGCCAACAATCTGAATTTTTAATCCCCGTGATCATGGGGAACGCCGCAACGGCTGTTAAGTGTGAGAGGCGGTCGTAAGCCGCCTTTTTCGGCAATGTTGTAATTTTGGTCACTAAACAACTGTTGTAAATCGAGGACTACCTGTAATGAACTGCTGCCACGCAGGACGGTCGTTACGAGAGAAACCACACCATGCTGGATTCCCAGCCTCACCATCTGGGAAGGAAGGTTACCTGGTTCCCCAGGAAAGGCCTGGGCAGCTCCCAGTAGAAAGTGGCTTCGGGAAGCTTGGGAAGGCCTCGGTAGAGCAGCCAGCGCTGAGATAGAAGAGGGGAGCCGGTTCCAGTGCACCCCGACAATGCTGCTCACGCACACAAGGCTCACACCAATTCCACAGCCCAGCCCACCCAAGAGCACATCTGTTTTCCCTCACACCCACTCACGCTCCCCCAAGAAAAGGGGGTCCCGAAATTCAAGGCGGAACAAAGCACATGCACACACCGCCGCCATTTTAAGGAAGAAGGACCTTGGGAGGGAAAGCAGCCCACTCCTTCCCTCCTTCCGTTCTTTCCTTTCCTTCTCTCTTCCCTTCTCTTTTTCTTTCTTTTCTTTCTCTTTCCTTTCTTCTTCTTTTCCCTTTCCTTCCTTCCTTCCACCTTCCTTCCCTTTCCTTCTCTCTACCCTTTCTTTCCTCCTTCCTTTCCTTTCCCTTTCCTTCCTTCCACCTTCCCTCCCCCTTTCCTTTCCTTCTCTTCCCTAATATTCCCTTCCTTCCTCCCTTTCCTTCTCTCTTCCTTTTCTTTCCTCCCTCCTTCCTTTCCTTTCCCTCCTTCATTCCTTCCACCTGCCCTCCCTTTCCTTTCCTTCTCTCTTCCTTAATATTCCCTTCTCTTTCCTTCCTCCCTTTCCTTTCCTTCTCTCTTCCCTAATATTCCCTTCCTCCCTCCCTTTCCTTCTCTTCCCTTTCTTTCCTCCCTCCTTCCTTTCCTTTCCCTCCTTCATTCCTTCCACCTTCCCTCCCCCTTTCCTTTCCTTCTCTCTTCCTTAATATTCCCTTCTCTTTCCTTCCTCCCTTTCCTTTCCTTCTCTCTTCCCTTTCTTTCCTCCCCTCCTTCCTTTCCCTTTCCTTCCTTCATTCCTTCCACCTTCCCGCCCCCTTTCCTTTCCTTCTCTCTTCCCTTCCTTCCTACCCACCCACCAAAGAAAAGGCTCCAAACTTTGGATGCTTCGACACCCACTGGCCAAAGCCCACTCCCAGCCCCGCCTGCCTTGCCTGTGAGATGCCACCTAAAGCAACCTCAGCTCATGCAAGGGTACCTTTGGGGCCTGAGCCCCCCAGAGCCGGCGCTTGGAAGCAGAAAGCAGGTGTTTGTTGGCATCAACAGATTGCCCTGTGGGAAGGCCACCTGCCTGGACTCCAGGGCAGAGGAGGTGCGGCCCCATCCAGAGAGAAGGAAGGAAGGAAGGAAGGAAGGAAGGAAGGAAGGAAGGAAGGAAGGAAGGAAGGAAGGAAGGAAGGAAGGAAAAGAAGACATGTTTTGATCCACCCAGGCTGGCAACTTAGTTAAAAGGAAGGGAAGGATGAGTTTGGGGTCAACTGCCCCAGAGGGAGCCAGCAAGGCAAAGTTGCCCTGAGGAAAGTAGGGGTTGCCAGCCCCCCCACCCCTTTCCAGCCAGACACGTACAGAGGTCAAGGTAGAAGAGGTGTACCTGGGGGACTGAGCCGGGAGGGGCGGCCAGAGAAGGAGGGAGAAGAGAAGACCTGCCTGGGGGAGCAGCCAAGCGAGGAGGATGCAGAGAGCCTCTGCGGGCCACAGAGGGTCTCCGCAGTTTGGCAGGTGGGGGGGACTTGGGGGGGCTGCCTTCTGCTGCAATGCGGGAAAGCATCTCCCAGATGTCGGCATCCTGTCTCAGCTGGGTTTCCCGGGTCTGATGGTGGAGCAGAGAAAAAAAAGGGAAAGAAAGGGAGAGATAGAGATAGAGATAGAGATAGAGATAGAGATAGAGATAGGGAAGGGAAGGGAAGGGAAGGGAAGGGAAGGGAAGAGAAGAGAAAAAAAAGCAAGGGAAAGGAAGAGAAGAGAAAGAAGTCAAGTCAAGTAAAGAAAAGAGAAGAGAAGAGAAGGGAAGGGAAGGGAAGGGAAAAAAGAGAAAAGGCAAGAGAGAACAGAGGCAAGTCAAGAGAGCAGAGCAGAGCAGAGCAGAGCAGAGCAGAGGAGAGCAGAGGAGAGGAGAGGAGAGGAGAGGAGAGGAGAGGAG